GGAACATATTCCTGTCTTCCTTTGCACAACGATCTGCACAAAATCGGACACATGGTGCTATGGTGGTGTTTGTCATCAACTGTAATCTGAAAAAGGGAGTTGTTAAATGTGTGATGAGCCTCTTCATGGTCAGTGGACATTTATGAAAGTCTTCTCCAGCCTAACTATGTGTCTGTGTTGGGATGCATCATCACTGCAGCCTCTTGTTTGGCAGCAGATGATGGGTACGCTTTTGGACTGAAGTCATTTTTGTGTGTGTGTGTGTGTGTGTGTGTGTGTGTGTGTGTGTGTGTGTGTGTGTGTGTGTGTGTGTGTGTGTGTGTGTGTGTGTGTGTGTGTGTGTGTGTGTGTGTGTGTGTGTGTGTGTGTGTGTGTGTGTGTGTGTGTGTGTGTGTGTGTGTGTGTGTGTGTCAGAGTCCTGCACGGGTCTGATTTTCAAGACCCGCTCCCGTCCCGCACCCGCGACGTGCAATACCGAACCCGCCCCGCTACCCGCACATATTGCCAATTAGTTCCGCAACCCGACCCGACCCGTCGGCACAAGATCCGCAACCCGACCCGAACCCGCATAGCCTATGAGCAGTGAAAACGTGCAATTATTAACACACGCAGTTGCATATTTGTCTCAAAAAGCGTGGGATGTTGGTTCTTTCCTCATCTACTGTAGGAACCAGAAGCCTCCAGACGCTGGATTTCGCTCTTGAGGAAGTGTTATTGAAAATGCTGTATCCTCCGCTAGAGAGCTTCACCTCAGCCATTTTGAATGTGGCGCGCACAGCAGCAGATTGATGCGCTGCAGAGGTTATGATTATGTGCGGTCCCGCGGGGGAGAGGTCTGAGGATTTAAACATTAAACTAAATTATTATTATTTTAATATATTTATTATGCAATACCCGCGACCCGACCCGCATCATCTTTGTTTTACCCAGAACCGAACCCGGAAAAAAGCGTTTGAAAAAATACCACCCGCGAATCACCTTTTTTGCGGGTCACCCGTCGGGTACCCGACCCGATGCAGGACTCGTGTGTGTGTGTGTGTGTGTGTGTGTGTGTGTGTGTGTGTGTGTGTGTGTGTGTGTGTGTGTGTGTGTGTGTGTGTGTGTGTGTGTGTGTGTGTGTGTGTGGTGTGTGTGTGTGTGTGTGTGTGTGTGTGTGTGTGTGTGTGTGTGTGTGTGTGTGTGTGTGTGTGTGTGTGTGTGTGTGTGGTGTGTTGTGTGTGTGTGTGTGTGTGTGTGTGTGTGTGTGTGTGTGTGTGTGTGTGTGTGTGTGTGTGTGTGTGTGTGTGTGTGTGTGTGTGTGTGTGTGTGTGTGTCCGTCCTGCCAATAGAGTTGACTCCTGGGGCCTTTTGAAAGCCGTTTCCGTTAAGACCACGACTTTCTATGACTGAGAGGAAGAAGCTGAGCGCTGCCTGCTGATCTCTGTCTCTGCAGGACTGTCCAGCATCTTTACTCACTGACACCAACAGTCATGGTCTGACAGCGAGGAAGTCTTTATTTTGAATTGTGGTAAGAGCAGAAAACCACAGAAGAAGCACAAAGTCAGAGACCATATATTGTCAACATGAGGATCCTGCACATCTTTCAGTTCTCTTTAAACACAATGATGTCCAAATGACAGTTGGTAGATTAAAATTAAAGAAATAAGTAGGCTAATCTTTATTTGAAAAGGTCATTTTAAAGCATTGCAAATTAATTTGGTTGATTTAAAATGAAATTCACTGACAGAAAGTTGATCTGCAAAATCCTTCTGTTGCCAAAAATTACCTAGTTAATGCTTCTGTGAAGGTTTAACATTAAACTTTTTCCAGGGATTGGACAGTCAGTTCGTAGACTTAAAAAATGAACATTTGAAAAACATTACCAGCAGTTATTTGCGAGGGAGAAAAGAAGAACAGAAAATAACAAGATGATGTCTACAAACATTCACATGAAGTTAATAAACCACAACCTATATACAGTTCTACCATCATGTAAAAGCCAAACACCACAAGATGTTTTTTTAACTTGCCTGCTGACTGCTTACACATCTTCCGGCGCAGACTGAAAACTCATCTCTTTCGACTCCACTTCGAGCAATAAAATGAAATAAAAAAGCACTCGTATACTAACAAAGCACTTATATACTAACAAACGACTGGCTTATCTAAAGCCAGTAGAGTAGCACTTGAAATGTTTTGGCTCTATGAAACCTAATGTACTTATATGATTCTGTTTTCTTCAAGTTTGTATCTTGTTGGTGGAATGCACTTATTGTAAGTCGCTTTGGATAAAAGCGTCAGCTAAATGTAATGTAATGATTAGCTGGAGGATGCCAAAGACAACTTAGTACCTCTATAACAGCAAAAGCCAGAGTGCCCTTTTCTTACGATATACAGTTTTTCAGCATAACAGAAACCATGACAATGTCTTGCACATTTCCCAACCTTTTCCTCCAGACCTCCAGGCATTGATGGTGGATAATGTCTGAATTAATTGGTGTTTCATGTGTTTTTCACATGTGTTAAAAAGGTCTGTATATTCAAGAGTAATTACGTGTTGATTACATTTTCGGTTTTCCAATTGCGGAACAAGTGGTCCGATTGAATGAATGGTTGCATCTTAAAACTCTGTGTCATCTTATATTATCCAAAACTGTCAAGAATAAATCCGGTTGCATCTCTTTCTTAAGTGCCCTAGAAAACTAAACTGAACTAGAGCGCAGACCTGCATGAAAAATCAGTTTCCATAAATTATAAATAATGCGTATGATCATAAAAATTCAGAAATGTTGAGCCTGTCCCCAGCCTAATGTGTATCAACAGATCATAACCCACCTCTTTGATCTAAATAGTCGCTTTTTCATAATCCAAGCCTATTTTCATGTGTGACCTGAGAGGTGAAAGCAGCAGCAGCAGCAGCAGCAACCTGACATGGTGACAGGAGGGAGGTTGTGAATGAATAATATTAATAGAGACACAACTTTTTGGCTTCTTTAGTAATGACAGATTTTTGATTGATCAAATTTGCACAACAAAAGAGGCGTGACAAACATTAAGCTGGTATCTGTCTGGTCATAGGAGAAAGGGACAGATGGCCTCTGATAAAGACCTAAGGTGGGGGTGTAGCCGGGGGGGGCTATTGTTACACCATTTCAAGGCATCTGTTCTTCTCTTTTATTCAGATTGCCCCACACTCTTTCATGTCTAAAATGATGCAAACTCTTCATCTTGCACCACCATGTTGTTTATTTCCTTCATGAGGCTCAAACTTTTATTTACACCATTGAATGCTTACAACCGGCTTAGACTATGTATATTTGAAAATATAAACTTATTATCAGATTCCTCTGTCGCCCCCCAGTGGTGTGGAGTGTGATTGTTACATCCTGTACGTGGCATCACTGTGGGGTGTGTACTTTTGGGAAAGAAAGGGTGAAAAAAAACTGCTTTTATTTCAAAGAGCATTTAAGCTCTGCGGCCCACATAATGTATGAGCCGGACACACACACACACACACACATACACACACACACACACACACACACACACACACACACACACACACACACACACACACACACACACACACACACACACACAGAAAAACACACACCACCATCACATCTGGAAGCAATCCACTGCAACCTCTGCCATGAAATGTACCTCATTCACCTCTACACACACACACACACACACACACACACACACACACACACACACACACACACACACACACACACACACACACACACACACACACACACACACACACACACACACACACACAACCAACCACCACATCCTTTACATTACTGTCTAGACGAGATCTTCTCAATTTCAGCTAGGACTCATAGGTATCTGCTGTGGGGATCACCAAACAAAACCAATCCATTCATTAATGTAAAACATGTAACATTATTCAAGGTAATGTTTGATATTTTAGTAAATATGCTAATTAGCTTTTTTGCCTAATACAACTCACACTGTACATTTATAAATATAAAATGTATCATTTTATATATTGTTATTGCATACATTTCTCCTTTAACTTATGATTCAAAAGTATACATTGTTATCCCAAATTACTATTACTTTTAAAACATGCCTATAGTTTAGTTAAAATAGACTTAAAAATAAAAAAAGAAGGAAAATACCATTATGATCATATTAGCTATAGCATTGACCCGAGGACCCCTTGTCTCATTGAGTTTGAGCAGTTCCTATATAAAAACTAGAGAAAAGTACAGAAAATGAATATAGATTATATATATGAGTAGCAAAACTCAGCTTGTTCTTCTTTTATCTAACAATAACAATTGTACACCCCCTCTGGTTTATCCATTTGTTTGTTGGAGGCTGACCATAGGTTAGAGACAGATTTAACTTCCTAAATTATAAAGTTATTATGTTACTATATAAAGTTGTTAAAACACTACAACAGTGAAGTGTTTAAATCAGTCAATATCTGTCTCATGGAGCATTTGTTTGCAGGAAAAGTAATTTTACTTTTCTTTCAATACGTGTGCCAGTCGATACTTTGGTTATTTTACTTAAGTAAAGGTTGTAAGATTATGTGAAACATGAACAAAAGGATTCAATAAAAATTTCACCTTTGGCTTAAGGCACTGACTGTAAACCTCTTGTCTAAACAACACACACACCCGTGCTCAGACACAAGTTTATTTACTTGTTAATCTGATAAACTCTCTCCACAAGCCTGTACTTGCAGCGTTTGTTTCTTTATCTGTTGTTTATTCTACAGCTTATTGGACCGTCAAGTTCACACTAGTTATTTTGTTACAAAACGTTACGTCTGTTGCTTCTCCCTGTGCATTTCTCTGTTGAGCATTTCTCTCGGTGTAGAGTAGAGTTTTATTTTTCAACTGTCTGAGCTGGGGGAGGGAATCCATGCTGAATGAATGAGTTTCTTTTAGCCGTTCGCTTCTTCCATCCCTCCCTTGTTTCCTCCCTCAAATTGCCACTTCTCTCTTACTCCCGCTCTCCGTCTCAGAGAGAATTCCTCTGTACCTGTCTGAACAGGGAGAGTCGGAGCGCTGCAGAGGAAAGAAAGAAAAAGAAAAGAATCAAGAGAAGGAGAGTAGGAGGAACATAAGGCGCACATTTAAAGAGCACAAACCGGGTAGAGGTGTGTTTGAGACATTTCCAGAAAGAACACAGGGCGAAGGTTTATCGAGATCTCAAGGCTCCAAGTTGTGCTGTTTTTCTGATCCCTGCTGGACTGTTTTACAACTTTCTGAGACCAGTGGCTATTTTTGGTCTGTGAGTGTTGGAGCGGTTTGGGATGGATGCCATCATGCTGCAAGAAAAATTGGTGGAACGGCTGCTGTGCCCACGAGTGAGAACCGCCAGGCAGAAGGTAAAAACATTGGATTCCTAAGGGATGAATAGACAAAAAGAGTGGAAATCAATCAGGACAATTGAAAAATACAATGAAAAATATAGACAAAGAGTAGAGGATTACTTTATAAAAGCATAAGTGTAGAAGACCTTACTCCCCTGGACTCAATGCCAGCGTCTTTTGATGTAATCTCTGCTTTCTGTAGAGGTGTGTGTGTGATTCCTCGAGGGACAGATTTGCTGTGCTTTTATGATTACTCACTGATTTATCTACAGATTTCCTCATTCTCTGGCTTTCTGACAAGTGTGTCTGCCATGAACTGGTTGCACAGCCTGAGTGTGTGTTTTTGTAAAAGTTATCCTCACCCTGGGGCGCTGTCGGAAATGCCTATGACAAGTTATGACAGTTTATGAGGACTCTGACTGTTTGCTTGGCTTGTGTGTTTGCACAGTGAAAAAGAGCTTTTCAGGTCTGTTGAATGTAGCTTCTGTTTGTGTGTGAATGCTCTCAATGGACCTCGAGTGTGTACTTTTACCCACACATGTCAACGGGCACTGTCGGGTAAAGATGACGTTATGCCAGATCCAGCAGAGAGCCGCAGCACTGAGCCTCTCTGTGTGGAACAGCGAGAGACTGCTATCCTGTCGCTTATTGTGTTTCAGCGAGGCTTTAAGAGGAATAGTGAGGCGCTGGTTTATTCTCAGCTGCTTCAGAGGAATGCTGTGCACATGTTTTTCCATGCAGTTTTCTGTCTGTTGTGGTGATTTTTACAGCATCAGAGGCTGCCAGATACATTTTGTGTTCCCATTAGAAACCCTCTGACGCTCTTACACTTATTGGGTGTTATTTTGAAGCTGTTTGCTGCTTTTGATGTTTTATTGTAGTCCTGAAACAATTAGTCAACTATTCAAGTAGTAAAACAATTCTGTTAAAAGTCCATAGAAAAATTGGTTAGTAAAAGGGCATTAGCTACAAAATATAGTAAAAGTAAAATGATTTATTATGTAGATGGTGCCATTTCTGAAAAATGTATATTTTATTATTGAATTGGAAATGGAATTACACAACCCTACCCTATGAATGCATACAACGTTTGATCTTATCTCAACCTTTATTATTATTACAGTATTATTCATCATTTGTCTGTTAAATATACCTTATTTTTATCTTCTGGATGACCTTAAGTTATCAAAAAGTAAAGTAAAATATACAATATTTATTAACACAGCTGCCAATTATTTTTTCTGTCAACCTACCTTTCCACTAATCAATTTGTTTGAACTCTACAATAAGCCGCACTCGTTCAGTGACTGATACTTTCTTTTACAAATCATGCATTAATACTAATACTCAGGACAACTAACACCTTCTTCTTTGTCTTTCTGTCCCAGGAGAAACAGTATGTGGGTTTTGCCACTCTGCCAAACCAGGTCCACAGGAAGTCTGTGAAGAAAGGCTTCGATTTCACACTGATGGTGGCAGGTCAGTAACTGGAGATGCAATTTAAGATGTAATTTATAAACTGACAAATGAAACTAATACTTAAATAATATCATACCATTAAATATGTCTGTCTGCAGGAGAGTCTGGGATGGGCAAATCCACTCTGGTCAACAGCCTGTTCCTCACCGACCTCTACAAAGACAGGAAGTTACTGAATGCTGAAGGTGAGTTTATATGCTATTCATTATGCCTCTGCATCATAATGAATGCACTGTTCGATCAATACAAGCACTCTGAGCTCTGGTACTTATGTCAATAAACGTAGGTATGTATAAACTAGCCCACAGTGTATCTTACATTTACATATCAGCTGCACTGAAGAAGTTTAAAGCGACACGGTCCTGTGTGAACCCGTCGCTACTTATATCTATGGCCATTCATTTGTGATCAATATATTATTTTGTTTGGTATTTATATGTACAAACAAAATGTAATCATTTCAAAAAATTATAGTGATACAGATATGTCAGATAACACAAAATGACCAACATTAAAGTTCAAAATGTAATGTTAAATGACCCTGGGAAACATAATTCACAACATGTCAGATGTGTTGGACAGCTAACATCGGTTTTACTAGTTACAGTAGTTCAGTTTGCTAGGCAACAGTTACACATGCCTGTTACTGACAGAAAGTAAATATTCATTCATTCTCTACGCAGTAACTAGTTTGTGTGGTGCAACAGGCTACATTTAGTTAAGTGAAAACTGTGATGGAAACTTCTGAAGCAATGGAGACAGGACTCAGAGAGACACGGGGAGAGCAGGAACTTTGATAGCAAACACTGATGGTTCATTTGGAGCTTCGGCCGGAGAATTCACAAGACATGTGCTGTGCCACGAGTGGAAACAGCGGATGCCAAACAAATTCTGAAGATCTCTACCCCAGACCCATGTATTTAGCTAGTTCTGAGAGAATACTCAACATGCTGCATAACAAGATAAAACACATTTTTAATGGGTTACAATTAAATTACAGAACAACTGATGCAGCAGGCTCACAGGCACAACATGATTAAGCCTTGTTTTGTAAATGTTAGTAAAAGTCTGAACGGGCTATGGGATTTGTCCTCTATAAAATATTGAATAAGAATAGCTCTGTTTTTTTTTATATCAAATGAATCAATATGTTGATAAATCATGCCACTGTTGCTAAAGGCAGAACAACAAAGATGCTTTCCTTCATTTGTCTCATTCTCCTTCTCTGTGTGGGTGCTTTGCAGAGCGGATAAACCAGACTGTGGAGATCATCAAACACACTGTGGACATCGAGGAGAAAGGAGTCAAGCTCAAGCTGACCATCGTCGACACGCCGGGGTTCGGAGACGCCGTCAACAACAACGAGTGGTGAGCTGGGAGACCTGCTTCTCTGACACTGCCCTCATTCAGCCTGCAAGCTACAATTCACAGTCTGTGTGTGTGTGTGTGTGTGTGTGTGTGTGTGTGTGTTGTGTGTGTGTGTGTGTGTGTGTGTGTGTGTGTGTGTGTGTGTGTGTGTGTGTGGTGTGTGTGTGTGTGTGTGTGTGTGTGTGTGTGTGTGTGTGTGTGTGTGTGTGTGTGTGTGTGTGTGTGTGTGTGTGTGTGTGTGTGTGTGTGTGTGTGTGTGTGTGTGTGTGTGTGTGTGTGTGTGTGTGTGTGTGTGTGTGTGTGTGTGTGTGTGTGTGTGTGTGTGTGTGTGTGTGTGTGTGTGTGTGTGTGTGTGTGTGTGTGTGTGTGTGTGTCCTAGCTGGAAGCCAATCACTGACTACATAGATCAGCAGTTTGAGCAATACTTCAGGGATGAGAGCGGACTGAACAGAAAGAACATCCAGGACAACAGAGTCCACTGTTGCCTCTACTTCATCCCTCCATTTGGGCACGGGTAATTACACACAGATACACACACACACACACACACACACAGATACACACACACGCCTTTTTCATTATTGGTGCAGGAAACGTCTTTTCTACCTGCGGATTTACTGCACGGCATCGTCGCTTTAAGGTGTCTTGATTAGGGAAATGTACTCTCGCTGTACTTGACGCTGGATTCCTCTCTGCAGACTGCGTCCGGTTGATGTCGAGTTCATGAAGGCTCTACATGAAAAAGTTAACATAATCCCACTCATCGCGAAAGCCGACTGCCTCACGCCCAACGAGATAAAGAAGCTCAAAGACAGAGTGAGTCTCCGAGCTGCAACTCCACAGTGAATTCAGCATGTTAAACTGTATGCAGATCATTCACTGTGACCATTACTCTGATTTATCTTTAGATACGAGAGGAAATAGACAAGTTTGGGATTAAGGTGTACCAGTTCCCTGAATGCGACTCTGATGAGGATGAAGAGTTTAAACAGCTTGACAAAGAGCTGAAGGTGAGTCCAGTTCATGAACGCATTCATTCTTCATGGAATTAGCTGTACCTCTAAACACAGATTAAGGTCATTTACACAGAAACGTTTTAGGACCAGGCATGCTGGGAAAAAAATATTAAAATCTTTGATTTTGGGATGAGTAAATGTCTAGATTCCTCTAATGTTCTCATGCCGGTCCCTCTTCAGTACCCCCCTTCTCTGGAGTTTACAGGATCACTTTTTGTCACTCAGAGCCAAAGCCAGGATTTTACAGATACTGGAGAACACACCCTCTCTTAAAGAATACTGACAACACTGTTTATTTGTTTACTGTATGTTTAATGTGTTTAGCTGTATGGTTAGTTTTTCTGTAAATCATATTTCCCAACATAAATGCCTCTATTGCTGTTTTAAAGTAATCTTTTTCATGGCTGGGAATAAATCCTGGTGTGGACATACTTGATCAAAAACTCCCCAAATATGTTAAACAGGACCTCAGTGTTGTCACTCACTCCTCTTTAGAAGTCTAGTCATCATTAATGTTAGTTTCACTTCTCTATATATCCTCCCTTCTTATCCTGATCTACTTACTGACATTAAAGCCCTGTCAATGACCCTAACATCACATGTCGGAGCATTGAAACGTTTTTGGTTTGTGCCGTGTATCACAGATCAGCTGGGAAAATCTGTGAAAGAAAAGTAAACAACCATCTGTTTTTCCGCATGTGTATAACTCTGTGAGTATGAACTGGGGCCAGCATGCTCAGTCAGCTGTCTCTGGATGGTTCAGGGTTAAAATAACAAATCGGCCCTCATGTCTTTGTGTGCAGGAGTGCACCCCCTTCGCTGTGATCGGCAGTAACACTGTGGTGGAGGCGCGGGGGCAGAGAGTGAGAGGGAGGCTGTACCCATGGGGGATCGTTGAAGGTGCGTTTATCTTCCTGTTATTACACTGAGTTTGAATGTAATAGCTTGGATTATTAAAATATTTTTCCTACTGCTTTTCTCAGTGGAAAACCAGTCGCACTGTGACTTTGTGAAACTGAGGAACATGCTGATTCGCTCACACATGCACGACCTTAAAGACGTGACCTGCGACGTGCACTACGAAAACTACAGAGCGCAGTGCATACAGGAGATGACCAGGTTGGTGTGAACAGGAGAGAGGGAACATGTTTTGTAAACATTTCAGATAACTGCTGATCTTCACAGATTTTAGTATCCTACAGTTTTGCCTGAGTCACCTATTCTCCCCCCTATTATCTTTTTCTCCTCATCCTCAGTAAACTGGCTCAGGACAACCGAATGGAGAGTCCCATCCCCATCCTGCCACTGTCCACACCGGATGTAGAGACTGAGAAACTTATCAAGCTAAAAGATGAGGAGGTATGAAGCCACTTTATTTGTTTCACCAAACAGTTCATGTTTTGATTTCTGATCGAATATGTTTTTTTTCATTAATGTATCCTAGAAGGGTATACATATAAAAAAAGAAAGATTAAACAAATGCAGAAAATAACAATTAGATATAGCATTTACATAAGTACAAAACCCTCTGGAGATTCTGTTATGTTTTTTGAGTGCTATAATGTGGATGTGGGACTAAAATCCAACTTTTCATCATCAATATCGTGAAGGAAAACAGTGATTACTTTCTTAGTCCTAGAGTCTGTAATATTTTGTCTTTTTTCCCATTAAATGAACACTAGCATTACATGCAAGAGGTATTAATGAGCGTTTCCCTCTGTGTGCAGCTGAAGAGGATGCAGGAAATGCTGAATAAGATGCAGCAGCAGATGCACGACAAAGAGCAGTGATGTCTGTGCTGCAGCGCCACCTGCTGTTTCTCCCCCGAACTGCAGGGAGACCTGCAGACTTTGAACATGGAAATCTCGTGTTATTGGCAGCTCCGGCTGTACGTGTATCCTCAGTTTGGTGCTTTGTATAGTTTGTCTGCCTGGACGGTTGTTTGTCAGAGGGCGTTTTTTGTCTCTGAAACTCTCCGTTTGTCCACCTTGAGCCTCTTGCTGTGGTTTAACAGTCTTAACATACAGTATATAATATAATTGCGTAATTTCAATTACTACTCTCTGTATCTAATTTATAAATGCAATGCTAAACTTTTTGGATATTTTGTCAGGGTATGATGTTTTGTAAAGAAATGTAGGTTGTTGGTGATGTTAACATTTGATGAATATTGTTTTTATTATATATGTGTGTGTGTGTGTGTGTGTGTGTGTGTGTGTGTGTGTGTGTGTGTGTGTGTGTGTGTGTGTGTGTGTGTGTGTGTGTGTGTGTGTGTGTGTGTGTGTGTGTGTGTGTGTGTGTGTGTGATACATTTCATGATATTTCCTCCAGTTGTCCGTCCATATAACTCCCTTTTAACCACGTTGGGTCTTATTCTTTTTTTTTTTTTAAATCCAACTTTTTCTCTTGTTATTTTGCTCTCTGATCCCCATAAATGTCTTTCCTGTGACATTTATCACATATGGCAAGTCAACATATCTTTGATTGAAAATGCACTTATTGCCAGTAGCTATCTGTGAATGGAGGATAAAGCCTTTGACATAATGAGAGGGTCGGTGCAGTTCAGGGTGCATGTGCAAGCATGTTGCCATTACTCATATCCGCTAAAGGCTGTGGGCATATTTCTCCTGCTTTATAGCCGATGCTTGTATTAAAATACATAAGTATGCTTTGTTGCCGTTACGGTAAAAAATAGACCAATAATAACATAAAATTATAAAGAGGAGCAGCTGCTGTTTGTGCTTCTGTTTAAAATCTCTCTGATTGAAAGTGAGTTGATGCATTCTGCTAGTGAAGATGTGTATCCTATGTGTGAGTGTTTTTGTGCGAGTGTGTGTGTGTGGGCTGATGCTGAGAAACAGTACATATTTTGCCTGAATGCTGTAAGCTCAGCCTGTGCCCCATTTATAAAAGTGTGACAAATAAACTTTAGTTTCTCGTCAATCTGCATCGTTTGTCTGAGTATTACAGCGTGAGCTCAACATCCTCCGTCACTTCCGCCTGTCAGTCTGAGCTCAGAGCTGCAGCATTATCTGCTGAGTCATGTTTATCTGCTGCAGCCATTCTTCCTCTGCTCTGCACATCATCTGCTGCCTATCAGAGCAGAACAGAAACTGCATTTTCCTTTACAGGGACTTTGACTATATTACAAAGTAAAAATGTACAAGTCAAATTTCTGAATTCAATCTTAACTAAAAATAAAAAAGTAATGTTTGTAATAACATGGATAATATCGTAATGTATCTGTTATGTGTCTTCTTAATCTGAATCTTAAAAGTACCTTGTATTTTTTAATAAATGCAGTTCACTAAAAATTACAATATTTGAATATTATACCCTGAATAGTAGGGTTTAATAAGTATAAGGTGAAAGTGAAAATATCCAAGTATTCTGCTATCACTGGTAATTATGCATTGTTAAGACCAATGTCTTAAATACACAACTTTTTACAGGTAATTAAATTACTGATAATATTAAGCAATCATTATTACAGTTGTTTAGCTTGAAGCTGACCTGCTGACTAAAAACTCTTTAATAATTGTATGAAACTTTAAAGTGCACAATCACTCAGTTTACCAAACATATTTTCCAGTGAACTTCCTAATTCATTAAAAAATAACAACCGCTAAGATAAAGAGTCGTTGGAGATACTTCCCATGTCCTATTAGATGTCTTTGTGAGTGTTCATAATTGTCAGAGGTCTTTATCAGTTGGTGGCAGCTGGCTGTAACACACACATACACACACATACACACACGCACACACAGCCTCTCAGAGGGAAACACAGTCCACTCCTGAAGACACGCGGCACTGAAGGTAAATGACTCTCCTAAGACATTTTAGTTCTGTATCTTTCTTAACATTATTGATGCTAAACAATTGTTTCCTGGCTCAATTTAATGTAACCTTATTTCTGATGCAAAGGACCATATCAGTAGAACAATAATGCAAAAATAAAATATCATGGTAATTAAAAAAAGCTGTCAAGTCCAGTTTGGCAGAACTACTGTTTTAAAGGAGTGGAAAGAGAATGTAAAAGATTAGTTTAAAAATAGTATCCCACCTAAATCTACACACGGTGTCAGTGCTTTATGCCCTATCTGTTTATCATGGGGTCTCACATGGGGTTTCGGCCACAGACTGGAATGTCCTGACCTCAGGGTTGAGATTTCGATTAAGAGAAGACGCAATGAGTTAGATAAAAATACATCTGAAAGCATGCTTTGGGTTGTCAAATGTTCCTTGTGTATGTAATGTATTGAACCAATGACATCAACACAGTACTACGTTTCAGTAAATTGTATAATGTTGGTGTTCTGATCTGAAAGAATATATCAATCAATCAATCAATGTTTATTTATATAGCCCAATATCACAAATGTTACATTTGTCTCAGTGGACTTTACAGTTTGTACAAAATATCAGTATGACAATACGACACCCTCTGTCCTTAGACCCTCACATCGTACAAGGAAAAACTTCCAAAGAAAACCCACAGTTTAAAGGGAAAAATGGGAGAAACCTCAGGGAGAGCAACAGAGGAGGGATCCCTCTCCCAGGACGGACAGATGTGCAATAGATGCCGTGTGTAAATTGAAAAGATAATACATTTGCAACATAGGTAGTCCAAATGTTTGGAAATGCATGTGTGTATAATAGGAAGATGAATCCACGAGGATATCCATCCAGGACCTATGATCCAGGACCACAGCCACGACTCGCGATCCAGGGCTCGCGATCCAGGACAGAGGAGCGCAGGATCATCCATGACTCCGGATCCCGGCATATATAGACACCAAAAAGAAAGACATTTGGAGAAGCTGGGTTAATCGGAACATGAGAGTACACCAGTGGCGAGCCGTCAGGGCCCTCTAGACCCTCTGTGAGGGCCTAAGATATTCTAAAAAATAATATTTGAAAACATTAAAAAAAAAAAAATTATTTTAAATATTATTTTTTATATTTTTTTGTTGTTACATTTTTCATTAGTTTTACCAAAATAACTGGATTTAATTGTATTTAAAATAATATTTCCAAAGAAATAAATCCTTCGAATCCGCCTGTTCAGTTTCTGTTGGAATGTGAAGGGTTAAATGCCGTCTCTGCGAGTGAGACGGGAGAGCTTGTTGGTCCCTCTCTACATTCACAGAGGGCCCAGCTATAGTAACTAAACGAGAGAGTAATGTCAACTGACAGTACAATTGACCAATCATATCTTCCCTCTAAATGGGTGGGCTTTATTTTCGCGGACTTTATGACAAGTCCGCCCGCTGTGAGGTCTATGCAAGTGGTGCAGTGACGCGTCCTAAAACCCGGAAGTAAGCTGCGCTCGGATTCCCTCGACAGAAAGCAACGGGATTTCTCCATAGGATTTTGGAAAATAGCTCGAAATAAGGTCTGTGGAAAACGAACCTGTTAGATAAATGCACGTTGTGTTCAGCCGGATAATATCCACATGTCTATCCTACTTTTATTATTTTTGAAACATAAATCTAATCGATAGATTTATGATCGATAGATTTATGATTAGCATAAGTTCGTTCATGATGGCTCACTTCAGTGATAGTGATGACATCGTTGCGAAATTATTATCCGAGTCATTTTCAAGATTGAGTTACAATGATAAACTGGAGTGACAAAGGATCAGCTGAATGACCCGCAAGTGCTTCATCCAAAAGGGCAGGAGGATGGACTTTGTGTTTAAGTGATTTGATCATCAAAGGTAGGCCTAAGTCATTTTTAATGCGGGCCGCCGTGCCGACTTAATTCATTTGTAATCGCTATTTGGCTGTGGGTGCCCTGTCATGATAGGTGTTTATATAAATGGTGTTGTTCTGTGTGGTAGAGGGTCGCTGTCATTGATGCGTTTTGCACCCCGGGCCGCTGTTTTGATATTCCGCTGAAGTATACGTTGAGACGTCTCTTCTTTTTTTTCGAGGGAATGGGGGGTCAAAGGGCCTAGGTATAAAAGTCACGGCTCGCCACTGGAGTACACAGGTATAGACAGAGAGAAGGAAGAAGTAAGATGTCCCCCGACAAACTAAGCCTATATCAGCAAAACTAGGGGCTGAATCTAATCAGCCCTAACTATAAGCTTTATCAAAAAGGAAGGTCTTAAGCGCACTCTTAAAAACGGATAGGGTGTCTGCCGCCCGAACACAAACTGGAAGCTGATTCCCCAAATGTGGAGCTTGATAAGAAAAGGCTCTGGCTCCCATTGTACTTTTAGAGACTCTAGGAACAACCAACAACCCTGCATTCTTGGAACGCAATGCCCTAGTAGGACGGGTATACTGAGTTCTTTAAGGTAAGATGGCGCCTGCCCATTAAGGGCTTTGTAGGCGAGAAGAAGAATTTTAAATTCTATCCTGTGTTCTATAGGGAGCCAGTGTAAGGCAGCCAGAACAGGAGTAATGTGGTCCCTTTTCCTAACTCTGGTTAGTACACGAGCCGCAGCATTTTGAATCAGCTGAAGCGACTTGACTGACTTCTTGGTACACCCTGATAATAAAGAGTTACAATAATCCAGCCTTGAAGTAACAAATGCATGGACTAGTTTCTCTGCATCGTTTTGAGGCAAGATATGCCTGATTTTTGCAATGTTACGTAGATGGAAGTAGGCGGTCCTTGAAATTGATTTTATGTGGGCTTTAAAGGATAAATCCTGATCAAATATAACACCAAGATTCCTTACAGTCTCACTGGAGGCCAAATTAATGCCATCCATAGTTAGTATATCCTTAGATAATTTGTTTCGTAGATTCTCCGGGCCAAGTACAATAACTTCAGTTTTGGTCGTGTTTAACATCAAAAAGTTTAAGGTCATCCACGTTTTTAAGTCCTTGAGGCAGTCTTGAATTTTATTTAGATGATTAATTTCATCAGGCTTGATTGATAAATATAGTTGAGTATCATCCGCATAACAATGAAAACAGAATGATTCCTTATAATATTGCCTAACGGAAGCATATATAATGTGAACAAAATAGGTCCGAGCACTGAGCCCTGTGGCACTCCATGGCTAACTTTGGTTTGCGTGGAAGATTCATCATTGACACGTACAAACTGAGAGCGTTCAGATAGATAGGACCTAAACCAGTCTAAAGCAGTTCCCTGTATGCCAACTAAGTGCTCTAGTCTTTGCAATAGGATATCATGGTCGATAGTATCAAATGCAGCACTGAGATCGAGCAAAACAAGAATAGAGACACGTCCCTTGTCAGAAGCTATTAGAATGTCATTTGTGACTTTAACCAGAGCTGTCTCTGTGCTATGATGTGTTCTAAAGCCAGACTGAAAAGCTTCAAATAAATCATTGTTTTTTAAGTAATCACACAACTGTTTTGCGACAGCTTTCTCAAGAATTTTTGAGAGGAACGGAAGATTGGAAATAGGTCTATAATTGGCTAAAACCTCTGGATCGAGGTTGTGCCTTTTAAGAAGCGGTTTTATCACTGCTACTTTGAATGATTGTGGAACATAGCCTGATAATAAAGACATATTCATAATGTTTAATAAATAAGTGCTAATTAATGGAAAAACTTCCTTCAACAGCTTAGTTGGAATTGGGTCTAACATATACGTTGATGGTTTAGAAGAGAGAATCATTGAATTGAATTGTTCAAGGTTTATGGCTGAAAAGCATTCTAGTTTACTATCTAGTGTAATATTAGAACTTACGTTCCCGGGAGCTGTTGATAACACTATACTGGTCAAAGGCAAGAGGTCATTAATTTTGTTTCTAAGAGTAACAATTTTATCGTTAAAAAAGCACATAAAATCATTACTACTGAGTGCTATGGGAATAGAAGGCTCAATCGAGCTGTGGCTTTCTGTCAGCCTGGCTACAGTGCTGAAAATAAATCTTGCATTATTCTTATTCTCATCTATTAATGAAGAGTAGTAGGCTGCTCTCGCTTTACGCAGTGCTTTCTTATATTCATTGAGAGTAATATGCCAAATTAAACGAGATTCTTCAAGTTTAGTGGAACGCCATATCCTTTCAAGTTGTCTCGACTTTTGCTTTATTTTGCGGGTTTCGGCATTATGCCATGGAGCTAATCTATGTTGTTTTATTTTCTTCTTTTGCAAAGGAGCAACAGAGTCTAATTTTATTCGCAGCGCATCTGTAGCACTATCAACAACATGATCAATTTGGGGTGGTGTACATTTTGTATAAGTTTCCTCCCTTACATGCAGACATGCTATCGAGTTAAGTATTGGTGGAATCTCTTCCTTAAATTTGGCTATAGCACTAACAGATAGGTTTCTGCTGCAGGAGCTTTTGACTAATGCTTTGTAGTCTAGTAACAGTACTTCAAAAGTTACTAAGAAATGGTCGGATAAAGCAGGATTATGCGGTTCGACTAATAGTTGCTCAATTTCAATACCATAAGTCAGAACAAGGTCGAGAGTGTGATTATAGCAGTGGGTTGGTTTATTTACACTCTGACAAAAACCAATAGAATCTAATATAGAGTTAAATGCAACAGTAAGGCTATTTTTATCATCGTCAACATGAATATTAAAGTCACCTACGATAATTACTTTATCTGTTTTAAGAACCAAAGTTGATAAAAACTCAGAGAATTCAGATAAGAATTCTGAATAAGGACCTGGTGCACGGTACACTGTAACAAATAAGATTGGCTGCAAAGTTTTCCAGGTCGGATGCGTAAGACTAAAAACGAGGCTTTCAAAGGAGGTATAATTTAATTTTGGTTTAGTATTGATAAGTAAACTTGAGTCAAAGATTGCTGCAACTCCACCTCCTCCTATATGGCAGAAAAACAATTAAAAAACCTTCACCTTCACACAACGCCACAAAGTACATACTCAGAACCATAGAGCTGACATACAATTAAGAGCTTTAAGTTTCATAATGATTGGATCGACTGAAGAACACCTTCATTGTTTTTCTCATCATTTTAGATTCAAACAGCTCTTGAACTACATAATAAACATCAATAAAACATAAATAAAACAGTGTTCAATAACACTACAAAGAAATATTAATAAGTACATGAATGTAATTTATCTGTTTTTAGATAACACTGTTCCAATGTGAAGTCATTACCTTGACAGTACATTTGCCTACTTTTTCCTTAATTGATATGCCAGTCAGCAGTGCGGAATATTAAAGTTGAGTTTTTTGCAAACTTGTTTAATATAGCTAATGGTACTGGTTGATGTGTGGCTAAACCTGCATATTCCCTCCAGTGACAGCTGAATTATCACTTTTTTTTTTCTCAAGATAGATAACATATAGTCAAAAGCAGACCGTGTACCGATTGTAGGAATAGTTTCTGTTTTTAAGTGTTCCTACAGATTAACAAGAGGTACAACAAGTCTTTGCTGCTTCTTTATTTTCCTTTTTGTCGAATGTAAAACATAAAATTAATCCAAGTTACCAGTATTTGAATAATTACCCTTTACTCAAGTAAATGCATCCCACTGTGGTGGAAAACTGTGCATTCAAAGTTTTCAAGTATAAAATGACCCACTCCTTATGCAAAAGGTTCCAAAACTTGGTTTATTATTTAATTACTGTCTAGCTTATAATGTTCTTCCCCTTGGGTCAAAGTATTATCTTGTCCTTACTGATGATAATGATTATTTGTTGATAATATTTTGAGTTACAAATATAACTGCAAAGTAACCGATGTTGTCATATTAACATTATGGAGTCAAAAGTACAGTATTTGCCTGCAAAAAGTAGTCAAAGCAGGAAGTAGCATGGGTCAGAAATACTCAAGTCTCAAATGTTCACTTGGGTACACATGAATCTTTGTTCTCTTCTCTCCAGTGATTGGTACCATGAAAGGGCTTCTGCTCCTGTGTCTGCTCCCCTTGTGTGGAGGTCAAAGGTCATCTGCCTGCCCTCACCTTTGCTCCTGTCATGGTGGTCAGGTGGATTGCAGCAGCAGGTCTCTCACCTCTTCCTCGCTGCCCACCAGTTTCAATGCAGGGACCACCTCCCTCTTCCTCCACAACAACCGGCTGACCCACCTCCCTAACGAGCTCCTGGAGGATTTGACCTCTCTCCGCTCCGTCTCTCTACATGGAAACCCCTGGGAGTGTGACTGTGGCATCCTCTACCTGCGTGCCTGGCTGCTGCGTCAGCCCATCTCCCTCAAGTCACATCTGGGCGTCAACTGCAGCTCCCCCCCTGGCCTGAGGGGGCGGCTGGTGGTGTATTTAACGGAGAAGGAGGTCCTGGAGTCCTGCCACTACTGGTACTGCGACCTGGCTCTGACCTCGCAGGTGTGTCTGTTTGTGTTTGTGGTGGTGCAGGCGGCTCTGCTCGTGGCTCTCATCGTGTTTCTGAGAAGGTTCGAGAGGCTCTTCAAAGAGGCAAGGAGAACCTCGGAGGAGAACTTCACATTTGGGGAGGGTCTGAGGGATAACATCTACGGGTCCTTAAAGGACGGCAGCATCTGACCTGCTGCTGTGGTTTGTTAGATCCAAAGTAATGAAGGATATCGGTTTATTTATTCAAACACTGGAAAGAATATGTATTTATTGTTTTGGTTTTTCAGAATCCAAATTTAATTTGTTTTAATTGGTGGATAAATGAATGGGCCCACAGGGCTCAGACCCAGGGGCCAAAAGTGTCAGGGGCCCCTATTGACTTCATATATAAAATGTAATTTAAAGAGACATGTACAAACCAGGAAGAAACTCAAAATGACCACAAAGAGACATACAATGAATACAAAGAGTACAAAATTACCATAAAGAGATGCAAAACAACCACAGACAGAAGATAGCTTCAAAAAAGAGACACAAAACAACAACAAAAAGAGGGTAAACAACTTTAAAGTCTGGGGGTTTTGCTATTATGTTGGGGAGGTGGTGGAGTTTTCTGCATGTCTGTGCAAAGGGGCAAATTAAAAGAAAACCTGTAGTGAATCATAACAGAATTGCAGATGCTTCCAAACAAGCCGAAGAAAAAGTGGAAGGGTATTTAGCTCTGTAACTGGAGATTCGTGAACACCTGACTACTACACTTTATTTATTTTTTCTTAAATGTGTCAACCATCTGTGTATCCATGGACCATATACCACTGTAGAAATAGTCTATAAAAAGAACGATGTAAATTGATCTGCACTAAAGTTCGACCAATACTGGATTTTTGAGGATGAATGTTGTTATTTGAGTTTGAAATGGGCTTCTGTATTGGATGATATTATTTTTAAACATTTTACGTTTTTTGATTAGAGTCCTGAAATATGGGTATTAAACTGTTGTGACTATTAAATGTACTGAAAAAATAAATTTAAATTGTAAAATAAACTTGCCAGTACTGTTTGGTGGGCATACTGCAAGTTGCAATTCTTTGTAATTTGTCAGTTCACTATTAATGTTGATTAAAGTAATAAAGCAATTGGTTGAACTGTGGTGCACGGTTGTACTCATCAAACAGGCTTACAATGTGTATTTATTGACATTATAAATTGGTAAATGAAGAAAAAATTCAACTGACTGACTGAAAGAAAGGATTATGTTGGAAATTGACTACTCCATTAATTGTTTGTTATGTCTGACATTGTATTATGTTTTTCTAAATGCATATAATTTCATAAAACATATTTGGGTCATCAAGAATTGGAGGACATTTTCATAAATGAAATATAAAATAATCCATGCCCAAAATGCTAAAACATTAACTTGTTTTGCTAGATAAACTAGTAGACATCAAAAATATCAAATACACCAAACAAAATGGCGTTTTTCTCTTGACCCTCCTTGGTGACCAAATTGCATATATTGTCAAGTACGACATTTAAATAAAATGATTATATTCATTGATGCATTTATGTGCTCTCATATACCCACTGTACCTCCGCCCCGGTAGGTGGCAGCACACAGTGAGGAAGAGGCGGCTCGAGCCTTCACCGCATATGAACCGCACAACACAACAGCGCCACTTTTGAGCGCTTGTCCACATCTCTAACAATAACATAAGTTGTCAGACAGTATTCAAGAACAAACGAGGGAGCAGTGCCACAAAGACAGATCATTCAGGTATATGTGGAAGGTATGTCTTAATAAATGTTATTTAATAGTGCATGAAAGTGCAGCTAAAGACTGTTTACGGCTTGTTAGATACCGCCTGACACTTTCCTTCACTACCAACGGTTGCTAGGAGCTTAGCTTGCTAACGCCACTTGCCTCTGGTTGTCTGCACTCTAAATTCCCACTTTGTTTAATTACTACTAATTACAAGTATAAAAGTAGTGGCATATACTTACTACTAGCCAGCCAAACCATCTCTTAGTGTTTACTGTTAGGTCTAACATTGATGTTCAGATGTTACACTGAAGTCTGTCATCTTTAACGGGAGGTCAGCTGTGGACATGGGTGGTAAAAGTACTCAGATTTGTTACTTAAGTAAGTAGCATTACTTCATTTGAAAACTACTCTGTTACAATTCAACGTTTTACAATCCAAATATTACTCAAGTAATAGTATAAAAGTAGTGGCATCAAAATATAGTCAAGTGCTGCCAACATTTGTACTCGTTACTTCTAGTGGCCCATTTCAGAATCATATATTAAATTACAGATTATTATGATGCATTAATGTCTTTATAACAACTCGTAAATGTAGAGCAAATGTAATTGACTTTGTGTACTGCTGCTGGATATCCTAACAGTTAGGGTATCCAGCAGCAATAATAAACAAACATAAAGGTATATTAATAATATAAGTTAGGATCTAACTTATATTAATATATCTATGTTTGTTTATGAGTTGATTTGTATTCACTTATAGTAATAGTAACTAAAGCTTTCAAATACATTTTATGGAGAAAAAAGTACAACATTGGCTTTCAAAATGTAGTATAAATTAGCATAAAATGGGAATCCTCAAGTAGAGTACAAGTTCTTCAGAATTGTACTTAAGCACAATACCTGAGTAAATGTACCTCATTACATCCCACCACTGGCTATTGAGGAAATGTTATTAATATATATTGGTATTGACTCTGAAATACTCCCAATATTTATCCCTACTACTTTAGTTAACACTTATCATATCAGAATATGTACTAATGTGACTTAAAAAAACATTATACTGTAGTCATTTCTAATCAAGTTTTAATAGTAGTAAAAGTAGAAGACACAATCTCATGGCATTATTAACCTTGAATTATTCTGACTTGAAACGCTTTTTAATTTCTTTCAAAAATATATTTATTCCAGGTCCAAGATGGTTCAAGACAGTGCTCACATTCGGGGGCGGGGGGGCCAGGACTTTTTGGCCTTCTATGACTCTGCCTGTGCCAGACAGGAGTCAGTCCCTCTCCCTGCTGTCAAAATGAACCTGGGCAAAGGAATACTGGACTTTAATGGAGACCGGGTCAGCCTCACTGACTGGCCCCCGATTTTAAACTCTATTTGCATCAACAAACACTTACATCACATTGCAATAAGTAGCACATACCAAGCTAGTCTGGCTTCTGGAGATGCAGGTAAGGCAAACATTAAACCTGGCGCACCAAGTGATAGTGGGAATAACTGCTGTTTTGACCTCTTAATTAATCATGTTTTTCAAATATAGTTTATTTCAAAAACTTGAATGTCCAATTTTGTAAATGAACATTAATCATATCACCACCAATTCCAGACAAAAGGTTCTATAAGTCTTGTCTCAGGAAGAGGATCCCAGCCTTTCGCTCTAAGGACATGACATTTAAACTGTGCAAGGCCCTGAGAGAGTGCCTGACTGTCTCTCCTAACCTGAAGACTCTGCAGCTTAGTGGACTTCCGCTGAGAGAAAGGGACCTCATTACATTGACAAAGGTACATATATGATTTGAAGTGCAAAAAGTAAAGTTTCAACCATTTCATTGTTGATGTTTCACTTATACAGAGACAGGCACTAAGCAAATTTGCAATCTTTATTAACTTTTTTTCTTCACTGTCAAATACTGTGTTGAAATATAACCCTGTTTACCGTAATTGGTGGTGACTACTGATACCTAGGATGAGAAAACCTAACATATTGATGTGCATGACAGAAAACCTGAATATTGATAGAAGCTCTGTTTAGGAGTGACATTTGGAAGAATCATGAGACAATTATATTCTCTTCCAGGGTTTTGCAAAAAGTGTTTCCTTGGAAAACCTATCTCTGGCTAACTGTCCAATCTCTGACGAAGGCTTAGAGGGTTTGTATATTCAAAGTATTATTTATTATTCATAATTCCTTCACTAGACCGTGAAGTATGTGAGCATGATGTATTTGTAACTTACATTTTCCTCTGTTTCAGTTATTTGCCAAAGTGTGAAGTATTCTACAAGCATCAGGACGGTAGACTTTACAGGATGTCATCTCACCTGGAGAGGGGCAGAGCATATGGCCAACATCATCAAGGTGCAACATCTCACATTTGAGACGTTACTGGCAAACTATATTGAATGTGTTCTATCTTCTGTAGTGATTATTAAATAATTGTAAACCCAGACCCTTCTAAAAATGTACCTGTATTTAAAAAGAGAATTGTATATGAATGCAATTGTTCCTCTCAGCATCAGGGAATGCAGAGGCATGGTACTGCATGGGCAGAGTCTCTGAGGTATCGTCATCCTCAGTTTGAGGGTATGGGAGGTCTGCGCCGTGTCACACTGAACTGTAACACCTTGATCGGGGACCGGGGCGCTGCTGCTCTTGCTCATGAACTGGCAGAGGACCTCTGGGTTAAAGGTGAGTAGGTGTGTGGGTCTGACAGAATAACAATGAGACAAAGCAAAGCGTGTTTTGTTGCTGTTTTGGCAGGCATTGTGCTCATGTTTGATGTTTTGTGATTGGTTGAACAGCTGTTGACCTACAGAGGTGTGGTCTGTCCAACGAAGGGGCTCGCCGGTTGCTGGAAGCCTTGAAAACAAATTCTGCCCTTTGTGTGCTGGACATCCGTAGCAACCCTTTAATTGGTAAGAAGCTTCCTCAATGCAATCAAACTTATATGATTGTCTAGATGTTTTTCACACGGGAGAAAACTTTGGACAATATAATAAATTATAGGTATATTTTGTTCACACAGTACTTGTAGGTGTAATAAGAGTTTTGGCCTCTAGATGAAGCTAGTGCTCTATTGGATGTTTATTTAGCTGCGTCCCAATGGCACACTTATTCTAACCAAGTATGAAGTATGTAGTGTTTCCATAGCAAAAAATGCAATAGCTTCTCTATAATAATATAATTAGTTAGTACTATAATTGTTATCCAATCTGAAAGCTGAAAACTACAAATCATAAATCTTTGGATAAATCTTTCTCCTTAATGAATGTTTTGTTTTTTCACAGACAAGGTTCTAATTAAAACAGTTCTAGAGAAAGTATTGATGAATGCTGACGGACAGTCTTCAGAGGTGAGTGTCTCAGATCATGTCTTTATTCAGGGTCTTAATGAATGAGTGGTGTTGTTGCATGCTGGCTTGTTTCAAATATTTGTATTGAGAAGAAGCATACAAGTGTAAGCAACAGTACACACTTCTTTGGGGTGGAAATAATGCTTCCCTTTTTCAACGTAGAAAACAAACATAACAGCCAACAAGAAATAATTTAAAAAAAACATAGCATGACAGGAATACCATACTTAATGACATACATAGTCATAGTAGGAAAGAACATACAACATAGTACATATAATAAAAATAAATAAATACACGTGCAGATGAGCCCAGACTACCCCCCCCCCACCCTTCGCTCCCCGAGCAGTGCCACCCAAGCCATTAAAAAAAATGTGTTTGTGCAATGCATCTCAGCCGACCTTCTTTTAGGATATATCAAATGATTTCCAAATGCAGAGTGCATGCTTGCTTCTTCTTTGTTGCAAAGTTGTGGTCATGGCTTGTATTCTTCTCATGTTGTACTACAGTACTGCTGGATCAAGCCTGCAGCCTCAGAGCCACAGAGAGCGTCTGCTCCTAAGAGGAGAGCTGTACCCAGCACAGCCAGGGGGAAAACTACATTTAGGATAGGTAAATGAATACATTGCACAACCTTCAGTGTTGGATCTCTTTTGTTGTGTTTGAGATACCTTTTTTTAATTTCATACTTACCTGTTTTCTTTGTTACCTTTTGGCTTTAAAGTCATCTGGAGACATGGTATGAACTTCTTCCTCTTCTATCTTTGTTCTGCAATTCAAAAAATTGTTGATATGGTTTACATGTCCTTGAAAAAAAAGGTTTAAACAACAAGTCTACCTTTTATATAGATGGGATAATTATGTAGTTCCTTGGTAGAAAGTCAACCATTTTGATTCCCCTTGCCGTGAATACCCTCTAATAAATATCAAAAGCAAAAGATGTATGTATGTGCCATATTTCTGTCTCAATAACTGATAGATATACAACAAATGTTTTCAACTGGACTCATTAGCCTTTCTTCTCTTTTGCTTGTGATGTTTATAACCATCCCTGTGTGGCTTAAAGCTCTCCCTTCATGAATGTCCAGTTGTTAACAGGGCTGTCTTTCTGGTGCAGCCCCTCGTAAAGGACCATCTCCCAGAGGACGGCGTTCAGACGCTGCTCCGACCCAGAAGCCTTATTCCCGCTCCGAGTGTGTACCTTGGCGAGCTGCTGCACGAGCTGAACGCCAGAGGTGAGGAGATGTTGGCAAACCAATCAACACTCTTGCATCATTTTTAAATGATAAAACTGTTTTGGCTTCATTCTCTCAACATGTCCCCTGAACCATCCCGAAAGAAACGTACCTCCTTTATTTCCATGGCATTCGCCTGGTTTCGCTGTGATGGCGCTCTACACTAATATTCTGTTTGATGCCTTTGTTGCAGAGGTTTTCCTCCTGGAGTTTGTGTGATGGATCAAAGCTTTGAGGTGAGTTTTCTTTTATACAGTGTATAACTATAGAAGCTACAAAACAAATTCAAATGTATCTTAATAACCGTGTAAAGCATACAGCAGACAAATAGTTTTTTCAACTTAATGGTTTATCATTAGGGTGCAGCTACCGTGAAGGTTACTATGGAGACGGATTCAGAGGCAGATGACTATGAGGAAGTGGAAGATGAAGAAGTAGTCGTGGAAGTGGAGCAGAGACCATCTTCTCCTCATCTCCAGGACAGGATCACTGAACGGAAGTTGAACCATTTACAGGTTGGTCACATCAGGCTAACAAATGTTTTTTGAGCTTTTAAAAGTTTTGTATGTAAGACAAGTGCTAATCTTTTGGACTTACTATGAAGCACTGGGAACATGCTGTATATCCGTGTGTGTTTTACGCCCTGCAGATGGAGCTAAAAGAGTGTCGTCTGAGGCTGGCAGAGGAGCGCAGAGCCAGACTGAGAGCTGAGTCAAGGCTCATGGAGGTAATGATGAGCTCAAAATAATAACATATGATTTTCTCCCCTATTTATTTTTCTTCAGTTTTCCTCTTTTGCAACTGGAATCTTGTCTGTGCCGAGCTTTCTGCTGTCACATAGCAGGATTTAGACTCCACACTAGCATTATATAGTTTAGGTGTTGGTCAGCCACACTGAAGCTGCCCTTGGATAATTATGGTCGTTTAACTCCAAAGTGTTTATTGTTCAGTCTGAAATGTCCTTAGATCGTAGACAACAGTAAATAAAGATTGAAATCAAATCCTCATTATAGCATCAACTGTGTACACAGCACCGAACACACAGTGAAATTTAGCCTCTGCATTTAACCCATCCTAGTATTAGGGCAGTCAGCAGGTATTACAGTGGAGCAGAGTAGGGGTCCCGTGCTGTGCTCAAGGGCCACTCAAAAGGGGACACTTACTTCTCCCAATTATGTCATGTTTGTCACGGGTCTAAGTTACAGAACTGTGTAAAGTAGTTTTGGAAATGAACCATCAAAAGACTGGCTTCCTTATGCTCCTTTATTCTCTATTTCTTTCTTATTTCTGTGCAGTACGAGTTGGACAATGCCCGTCTCCGTGACAACAACTTCTCCCTCTCGGAGGCGCTGGCTGCCACCGGCTCTGCTTCAGCTCCAGCGGCCGTCAGTGCTCTGGAAGATGAGGCCGTCCTGGAGAGCATCGAGAGCTCATTCACAAAGTTCCATGCCTTCCTGGATCTCCTCAAGGATGCTGGGTCAGAACTCTTTTCCATTGTTCAATTGGACATTGCCAAATAGTTTTTGGGTGTCTGTGGTTTAAAGAATTGTTAAATAACCTTGTGACTTTCAATTACACAAGATATCTGTGGAAATTCCGCTCTGCCATCATATGATGTTGGTTTTTCACACATGCTGACTTGCTGAGTCACAAAGGAGTTTCATTCTTGTTTTTGATTTTTTATTGTCATATGTTTCTTTATCAGATTTAGTTTTCATATCATTTCTTCCGGGACCATTGTTATTATCAATCAATTTATTATATTTTTAGGTAAACGTCTATTAGGTTATCGAAACCAAGGTGATGCCTTACATTTTGTTGGCCAATGGTTTAAAAACTGCCCAAAGGTCATTCATTGACAATATATTTTTTAAATGTTTCAAAACTAGAGCTTAGTAACATAGACTTAGACCTTGTGTGTGGAAAAACCACATCATGTTTTGTAGATGAAGATGATCAGAAATCAAAGTGAAAAAGCCAAGTATTTTGAGAGCTTGTAAATGATGGTTTCATTTATTCGACTCTGTATAAATTGTTATTGTAGCTTAAACGGCTAAATCGCGTTTGAGAGATTTTAAATCTCAGATCTGCTCAGGCGAAACCTGCTTTACAGGTCTCAGTACTCAAGCCTGCATTAATATAGGCAGGGCCAGTCTATTGATAGCGTGAAGTACAACCGCGTGACTCAGTCATTTTGAACCTTAAAAAGCATTTAAATACCGCATTTATAATCTGATGAACTCAGTGTGCATCTGGACCCGGTGACGACATTACCTATTGACGCAGCAACCACTGTAAGTTATATTCTTGTTTAATTAGACTTCTCTGTTTCATTTATTCGACTCTGTATAAATTGTTATTGTAGCTTAAACGGCTAAATCGCGTTTGAGAGATTTTAAATCTCAGATCTGCTCAGGCGAAACCTGCTTTACAGGTCTCAGCACTCAAGCCTGCATTAATATAGGCAGGGCCAGTCTATTGTCGCCCATCAGCTGTAGATAGTTAACTAATTAGAGGGCCATGGCCCTACAGCTGTGAGAACTGAGCAATCAGGCGTCCATTTTGGGTAGCTCTATCCTGGAGCGTCAGCTTCAGCGTCAGACAGCCGAAGACTGACAAAGACATTGGAGTCCTGCGGGAGTAAGACTGACAAAGACATTGGAGTCCTGCGGGAGTCCTGCGGGAGTCACGAAGGAGGCAAATCCTACTCTGATTGAGCTGGTGTCTTATTTATCTTTTCTTTAGTTTTCTAGCCCCTCATGCTATAATCATGTGTATTTTCTCCATTCCTGTTCATGTGTCTTCTCGCAATTATCACTGGCCCCGTGTATCTCCTAATCGATATAACCGGCCTGCTCTCGTCTATCCCACGTGCTCCACTGAGATCCAACATCTAGTTTCTGGTGGCCTGTGGAATTGCCAGTCAGCTGTTCCTAAGGCTGACTTCATCTCTGGCTACGCCTCCCTGCAGTCTCTGGATTTCCTTGCTCTCACTGAGACCTGGATTACTCCATCCAACACATCCACCCCAGCAGCTCTCTCCACTGCATATTGCTTCTCCCATACACCCAGACCCACTGGCAGAGGAGGTGGCACTGGTCTCCTGCTCTCTCCCAAATGGAGCTTTTCCCTCTTCAAGCTACCTAACTTCACTCCTTCCACCTTTGAATTCCATGCAGTAAATAATACAGTAACATACAGTAAATACAGTAACCCATCCTATACAGTTAACCATTGTTGTTCTCTACCGTCCACCAGGCGCCTTGGGGGACTTCTTGGAGGAATTAGATAATCTCCTCTCACTCATCCCTGAAACTGGCCCTCCCGCTGTACTTCTCGGAGACTTCAACCTCCAGACGGGGAAGATAGACGAAGTAACATCTCTGTTAACCGCCTTTGCTTTCTCACTGTCTCCGTCCCCACCGACTCATAAAGCTGGCAATGTCCTTGATCTCATATTCTCAAGGAACTGCGCTACTTCTAACCTCTCTGTAAACCCGCTCCACACATCCGATCACTTCTTCATTTCATTCTCTCTATCCCTTTCCAAACATAACAAACTAATCTCTTCCCATCCTGCACTTGTCCGCCGTAACCTTCGCTCCCTCTCCCCCTCTACCTTTGCCTCGTCGGTGCTCTCAGCCCTCCCTTCCTCTGATTCGTTCCAACTCCTGCCTCCAAACTCTGCTGCAGAAACTCTCCTCTCTACTCTCTCATCCACTCTGGACTCTCTCTGTCCTCTCACATCTCGGCAGGCTCGTCAGTCCCCTCCTGCTCCCTGGCTAAATGATGCACTGCGTGCTAATAGAACCGTCCTTAGGGCAGCAGAGCGGAAATGGTGGAAATCCAAACACCGTGACGACCTCCTAACCTATCAAGCTCTCCTCTCCTCTTTCTCTGCTTCGATCTCTCAGGCAAAAAGCACTTTCTTTCAAGATAAGATCCAATCTTCCTATTCCAATCCTAAAAAACTATTTTCCATCTTCTCCACCCTCTTGGACCCTCCAAAAGCTCCTCCCCCCTCCTCACTTCTGTCAAGCGACTTTGTTACCCACTTTGAAAAAAAGGTTGATGATATTCGCTCTTCTTTTTCTGACTCACCTTTACTCACCGCTGGGTCACCAGACCCTCCTTCCACCAACACACTTACCTCCTTTTCCCTTCTCTCTCCAAGTGAGGTTCTTACCCTCATTACCTCTGCCCGCCCTACCACCTGTCCTCTGGACCCTATCCCTTCAAACCTCCTTCAGACTATCGCTCCTGATATTCTACCGTTTCTCACCCATTTCATCAACACTTCTCTAACTTCTGGTCACTTTCCAAACAGTCTCAAGGAGGCAAGAGTAAACTCTCTCCTAAAGAAATGTTATAAACTACAGGCCTGTCTCTCTCTTCCCGTTCCTGTCTAAATCACTTGAACGCGCTGTCTTTAAACAACTCTCCTGTTATCTCAATCAGAACAACCTTCTGGATCCGCACCAGTCTGGTTTCAAGGCAGGTCACTCCACAGAAACTGCTCTCATTGCTGTCACGGAGGAACTGCACACTGCCAAAACAGCATCCCTCTCCTCTGTCATCATCCTGTTGGACCTGTCTGCTGCATTCGACACGGTGAATCATCAGATCCTCCTTCGCACGCTCCAAAAACTTGGAGTTTCAGGCTCTGCACTTTCCCTCCTCACCTCATACCTGAAAGACCGTACCTACAGGGTGACTTGGAGAGGGTCTGAGTCCGACCCTTGTCAATTAACTACGGGGGTCCCTCAGGGCTCTGTTCTTGGTCCCCTCCTCTTCTCCCTGTACACAAACTCGCTCGGATCAGTCATTAGCCCGCATGGTTTTTCTTACCACTGCTACGCTGACGACACCCAATTAATTCTGTCCTTTCCCCGCTCAGAGACCCAGGTCGTCGCACGCATCTCTGCTTGTCTAGCTGACATCTCTCAGTGGATGTCTGCTCATCACCTCAAGCTCAACCTTGACAAGACTGAGCTGCTCTTCCTTCCGGGAAAAGATTGTCCCACTCTTGACCTAACAATCAACATCGGCACCTCAGTTGTTTCCCCGACTCAGACTGCAAGGAATCTGGGTGTGACCCTAGATAACAACCTGTCCTTCACTGCAAACATCGCTGCTACAACCCGTTGCTGCAGATACACGCTTTACAACATCAGGAAGATACGTCCCCAGCTGACACAGAAAGCGACTCAGGTTCTGGTCCAGGCTCTCGTCATCTCACACCTAGACTACTGCAACTCCCTCCTGGCTGGTCTACCTGCATGTGCCATCCGACCTCTGCAGCTCATCCAGAATGCAGCGGCTCGTCTGGTCTTCAACCTTCCTACATTTTCCAACACCACTCCGCTCCTCCGCTCCCTTCACTGGCTTCCGGTAACTGCTAGAATCCACTTCAAGACACTGGTACTTGCTTACCATGCTGCGAATGGATCTGGCCCTTCCTACATCCAGGACATGGTTAAACCGTACACCCCAGCGCGTGCACTACGCTCTGCATCAGCCAAACGACTCGTTGCGCCCTCGCTGCGAGGGGGACCCAAGTTCCCATCGGCGAAAACACGTGGGTTTGCTGTCCTGGCTCCAAGATGGTGGAATGAGCTCCCCATTGACATCAGGACGGCAGATAGCTTGCACATCTTCCGGCGCAAACTGAAAACTCATCTCTTTCGACTCCACTTCGAGCGATAGAATTACTAACAAAGCACTTTTATACTAATAAAGGACTGGCTTACCTAAAGCCAGTTGAGTAGCACTTGAAATGTTTGGCACTATGAAACCTGATGTACTTATATGATTCTGTTTTCTTCAAGGTTGTGTCTTCCTGGTCGAATGTACTTATTGTAAGTCGCTTTGGATAAAAGCGTCAGCTAAATGCAATGTAATGTAATGATGTTGCACAAGAGTAATGTGATGAAGGGATCCTGCCACATGACTGAGGGGAAGATGTGGCTCTAGTGCACACACCCCGAGTGCCAGGATATTTTTGTAAACCGACTGCTTCCTGTAAATCAGGGGTGCCCAACCCCTGATTTACCCCTCGCGATCGACCGGTTATTTGCTCGGAACCGAGTTTGAACCCTGCCACTGTGCTACACTTCCCGCCCCGCCCCCGTCTACAGTACAGAAAGCGGCGAGATGCATTTCCTGAATCGACAAGCAGAACTGAAACTAACATTTCTAAACGAACAATGGCGGACACGGACAATTTGCGAACGAGTTCTGCCTTTTGTAAACTGAATTTATCTATAATTTGTCAATAAATGAGGGTGAAAAACGTCACTTGTCCACCGGACAAGTCAATTGAAAGTAGGGGTGGGCGATATTGGAATATATAATATCACGATATTTTTCAAGCAGTATCACGATAGACGATATTTATCACGATATTTTTTCATGTCGGTTATTATGGTTATTTGTCAAGTTACTTAACAGTACAACCACCTACAAGGTAACACAAACTAAAATAAAAAGGAGTCACAGACCAAAATACCATCAAGCTGGTTTTGATTCTGCACTGAATCCCTGAATGAACAATTCAACAGGAATGTTGATATGGCTTCCTCAGTGTTCAAGTAGGTAGGCCTACACCCTACAACAGGGGTGCCCAACCAGTCGATCGCGATCGACCGGTCGATCGCGGAGAGATTCCCAGTCGATCGCGAGATGTGTCTAAAAATAGAACAACAATATTCGGTTTTATCGTTAATGTCCTATGACATAATCTTCCTGTGCCAAAATAATGCACTTGAACGCATCAAAGCTTTGTGATTGGCCGGCGGGACCCCATGTGTCGGGGCGTGGCTGGTGGGCAGTGGGCACTATTTCGCTGACGTTGTCCGTGTCAACAGGAGTGACAGTCCGCACACACACAAGACCGCAATTATGGCAGAAGCAAAAGAGCCCAAAATATATAATTTTCACTCCGAGTGGGAGGATGATTATTTTTGTATCTATTCCAATTCAAAGTCCATCTGTCTCATCTGCAATGCGAGCGTGGCTTTATCGAAGAAGAGTAATTTAGGAGCACAAACGCTACGAGACGGAATTCCCTCCTAATTCTGCCCTACGCTCCCAAAAGGGGAGGGGCCTGAAAGGACAGCTAAATGCACAGCAGTCCATTTTCACCAGGCCCAACAACAAGAGCAAGGCTGCTACCATAGCATCTTATCGTGTCACGTTCTTGCGAAACACATGAAGTCTTTCAAAGATGGCGAAGTTGTGAAAGAAGCATTCCTGGAGGCTGCCGACGCGCTTTTTGGGGAGAGTAAAAATAACAGAAGCATTTCAACAGGTTTTTGATATAATAAAAACTAAAGTTAGATACCGTTATTAATCAGCTGTAAGTTTGAACTTATTCATTATAATTATTGTACAAAATGGTATAAGAATGCAAACTTAAATTGATTATAGTCTATTATCAATTCAGGTTAAGAAACTAGAGTTGCTTGCATCCTATTTTAAAGGCATTTCTTTTTATACTCTACTAAAATGCAACAAAAAAAGGGTTTGATTCTATACATTTTTTAGATAATCTTTTTTTATTGCACTTTGGCAGCAGATTCCTGTGTAGCTTCAGATCTGAGTTGTCTTATTAGTAAGCCTAATTTATACTTTTGTAGCAACACTATTTTTATATAATGGCAAAGAAAGGGTTCAGAGTCTTTTTTTTTTCCCTGTGTCATATGTGGCAGCACTGTTCAATGTTTCTTGAAAACATCACCCACTGTAGTATGTGACGTGTGAATAAACTCCAACTCTGTATCAACAACACTGTTGTGTAACTTCAGTTGAATACTTGTATGTGTGTAGATTAGAAAGAGGTAAGATAAAGGATCTGCAGGATTTTATGAAGTATTAATTGTACAAAGGTCAGTTTTATACAAGTAGAAGTGTGTATTTATACCTGGTAGTAGGCTGTCAGTAATGGCTACGCCTCTCTATTTGGACTGGTAGATCTCGGCAGACTGGCAACTTTAAAAGTAGCTCTCGGTTCAAAAAAGGTTGGGCACCCCTGCTGTAAATGAAGAGTTGAATCTCTGTTTGATTCTGGGATGCCCTTTCAAAAGAGTGGTCTATTTGTTCCCTTTTTTCTATAGGAGAGTTTCATTCTGATGCAATGCTTTCACTTTGAGACGTCCACTAGTTTTCATTCATTAATTGAAGCCTTTTATTATTTCCATTCAGTCCTTATCTACCTATGTTTGTAATTTGTTGCTTTGATCGGTTGCATTGTCATTGTCAATGGCCATTAGCAGATTCTGTCTCGTTTTTTTACTTTGGCCATAAAGTGAATATCAGTAAAAAGGTGACAAAGCCTTGCTGTGCAGCCATCTTTGTTACCTGCATTTACTTGCATCAACACTGTACAGCTGCAATTGCTGGGTTTGCTGCATAAATAAAACACAGTCGCTTCCACCGTACTACAACCCAAAGTGTACATTTAGTTGAACACCAGTTAGGGGACTGCAATAGGATCAGATCATTGTTTTTGCAGATGAGATTTAGCAAATTATTAAATGGGTATAGGTATAGTTTATAGATCTTTACAAAAATAAAAATGTATGGTTTACTCCTATCGGCTCTCCCTCATCTCTCATTATAAAACAACAGGACGTTTCTTTTAAAGCAAATGAGCTCAGACAAGCCAAGTCAACCCTACCTGCTCAGCACAAAATGGAATGTATAGATTATAGAAGATACAAAAGTTAAACCTCTAGTTGGATACCCAGATATCTTTGTTCCAGAAATTGGTGGGCTAAACTTTATGTGATACTCAGTGCGCTCGGAGTCTGCTAGTCCACTAAGTTGACGAACATATCAGTAATAAGCTGATAACACTGTCTATTAAGGCTGTTTTTTCAAACATTGCTTTATGACACTTTAAAGGTCACCTATTATGCAAAATCCACTTTTGCATGTATTTTATGCATAAACATGTGTCCCTTCTGTGTAAAGAGATTCTGAAAGTTTCAGGAAAAAGTATTCGCTCACTTTTTGTCCTGATATATTTTAGGGCTGTACTCGAATATTCGGTCGTCGGCCTACTATTCCGTTTTCAATTTGTTATTCGGGTTTGTCAGCCGCGCTGCACTGCGGCTGACAAATTGAATTTATTGAAATCTCCAATATCAACGTTAGAGCTTGTGCCTCTTCGGGGGGTGCTAACGCTTAACCATAAACGTTATCCTTTACTAAATTGGGTTATATATATCAACAAATAACTATAAAACAACAATACTGTAGAATAACAAAATGAATGCCTTGAATACACCGAAATACACGTGTTGAAGCCTGGCTTCGCTGCTGATCACTACGCACCCACCCCCCGCGACGAATATCCGAATATTCGCTGCTGATTACTACCGAATATCCGGAGCCCGAAAAATGGTATTCGGGACAGCCCTAATATATTTATATAAATATTGATACTTTATAAAATGTGCTTATGTATAAAAATACACAAGTTGTTAAGGCTTGGTAATATATTGACATTAATATTGTGATATGAGACTATAATTTGTCTCTTTCTGATATCCTAATATCGCAAAGTGTAATTCGCTACTAGGCCATTAGTTCCACATTACTTGTGATTCTTCAACAAGATTTTTTAGATTGTGTGAATATTTTGTCAATGCACAAATCAATCAGTCAACCTTACAGTATACTTGCAATAAAGGTATAAGATAATACATTTAGTGTTATTTGATTTGCTCTACTTTTCGATCATCTCAAAGTTGGTTGGTTGATGGTCCATCATACTGGACTGCATGATGACCTCAGACGTCAAAGTGAAACAGTCAAGTAGACCCTTTCTGTGTTCATAAAGACTCAAAAGCTTAAAAGCACATCCTATCACTGACTCCGGGGTCAGATGTTTATCTCCATCATCTATTTATCGGATGGGCTACTTTTTGTAAACCGACTGCTTACTGTGGTCACTTTGTTGGATTTCTGTTTCGTTCTGAGATGCCCTTTAAAAACAGAAGTCCACTTGTTCTGATGCTCCATTTAGAAACATGGTGCTGTGCCCAGTTTAAAAGATACTTTCATTTTTACCGGATGAGTTTCACCATGACAGAGCATAGAGCTTTAATTTATATTAGCCTTCAGCCCCCGAATAGCACACATACATATATGGATGTAATATAGAAACTATTTTACTCTCCTGAAGTTTGTTCCTCTTGAGTGGGCTTTTGTGGATGTTTCCTTTTTTGTATTTCTTTTACTGAATGAGAGGGGTTTGAATACGCTTCATTCACCAGTGTATCGTGAAGTTATTAATCGTACGTAACGTCTCACTGCCATTTTATTTAGCAGTTGAGCACAGCAACCTATATGTGAGAAATTGTTTACTTTTTACCAGGTCAGTTTCTAAAATGACTATAGGGTGTGATTGAAATGCATGTGCGCTTTTCCTTAACTCTAATTAATTTAATCTCTTCTTTGTTTTTTTGTAGTCTCGGCCAATTAGCCTCAATGGCTGGAATTGACAAGTCAGACTTCCATCCTCCGGGGAGACCTCAGCTCTCCTCTACTTTAGGACGAGGGGAGTACGGGGACGGTTGGAAGAAGACTGATGCTCCCTCTTTGGTAAGGCATTACAAAGCAATGTATAGGACATGTTTTCCAATTGCAAGGGAAATGTGATTGGGTTATAACTTCAGTATTGGTATTATTACATTTGTAGCTTAGGATTTTAGACCATGAATTCCATATACAGTATAGGGCAAATATGACACTTTGGTTAAAAGGATGAATCAACACCACACACTGTAAACTGAATTTTAATGTTTTCGAACTGCATGACGTGACCTGGATTCATTTGACCTATTACAGTGTATACCAAAATCATGTCAAATTTGATTATTTATATTTTTGAGACCAGTAACTTTTCTTTCAAGGTCCTCCATGAGGCGCTTGTCCTGTATCATATAGTGTTGTTATAGTTCCTAAGTTTGTCTATTTTCTGGAAGTAGCACTTTATTCCTAGCCTGCATCCGATTAATTAAGTGGTTTGTTTAATATACCACAACATCTTTCTCATCAAACATGCAATTTCTGATTTTAGGTAGACGTACGCATCTCGCCCGCTCCTAATGTCAGACTGCCTGACCGCACGATGCCCAGATCGCCACCCTCTGTCAGGGAGTTTTTGCGTGAAGACAGGCTACGAGATGTGCTGACCTCCCATCATGCCTCTGCACCTGCAGGAGACCATTGTGTCGGAGGGGAAGAGGAACCAGATCATTTTTCAAAGCCTGACACCCAGCAGGACTCAGGTTCTGAGCACAGCTTCCGTAGCCAAAAATCCTTCGATAAGGTTTCCTTTGGCAAAACCTTTCAGTCAGGCTATCCTAAGAGCAACAGCAACTCTCCCAGAAGCAGCGGTTCCCATAGATACAGCTATGCACACAGTCACTCTCTCCATAGCAACGGCTCTCATGGTGGACTGTCCGTAAGATCAAGTGTTAGTGACATTATCAGTGAGGGGGGAGGGGAGGCTAGTGTCAGCAGCTGAGTCGGGGTCAGAGGGTAGGGTCCTGGGGGGGGAGTTCAGACAATGACTCTTTCTGACCCACTCATTCTGTTACTTATTTATGATGTAGAAATACTTCACATATTTTTTGTTTTTAATCTTTGGGAGAAGCAAGACCAGAGTTTGTACATCTTCAATCAGTTCTGCAAGTCAATTAAACATCTTGTTGCATTCTAGCCAAAGCACAGGTTGTTGAATATCCCACCAAATTAAAATGTGTTATTAATTGAGACACATATTTAAAAAAAAAAATCCAATGTATGGTTAGTAAACTGATTTGGTGGTATCTACAGTTAAAAAAGTTCATTCAACAAAATGTGCAAGAAAATATTTGGGTTTTCAAAATTAAATCAAGTCACGAGTCGTTTTTGATTATCAAGTACCTCTTAATGTCATTCATGTGGGAACCTATCAAAACTCATAGGAAAATAATCTTAAAATGCCAATTCATGGGAGCTTTCAGTAAATTAGTGTACTATTACTTTTTTATGGCTAATTTAGAACATATTTTTTAGAGATTTTTTGATAGATATTTAATAATAAAAGTCTTCTTATCAATTGTTAGAATATTTTTGCACTTCCCTAAAATTGAAAATGTTGAATAAACATATTTCAAAATGTGTTTTTAAGCTTCTTAATTGAATAACAAACTATTTATGTCACTACAAAGAGGGAAATGTGTGGAATGCACCATCACATTGCATAATGTACCTGATATTGCCCCAAATTACCTGTGAATGTCACATCTTGAAGATTTTTAAATATGCCCTAAAATACCTTGTTTATGCCATAAACATGTTAAAACATTTGAACTAATATTTCTTGATGCAGAACATGCATCAGGCCCACAATCTGTTTTCTACATGTTATTGTTTACTCCCTCTTTTGGTGCTTTGTCCTGAGAGTCGAGGATTGGTGAGCAAAGCAGGACTTTTGAGTAGAACACAGTGTGCTATTGGACAATGTGTTTTCCGTTAACAGTAAATGGTACAGCTCTTTGAAACGGTGACTAGAAGTACTGCAATTGTAAAGACCTCAGTGTCCTAATCTTTTCGTTTTTTTTGCATCTGTTCTTGGTAGTAACTTTCCTCGGACACCTACCTGCTAATTATGTTCTGATATTTTCCAGACTGGTATAGAGGTTTGTAGTAAGAATATAGTTTTGGATGAAAATGTATTTTGTTACCTCAGTTTCTCAGTTTCACAAAATCTATTAATAACAAGAACAAGGAATATTACAGGGTCAGACTGGAAGCGAAGTTAGCTTTATAACAAAAGTAAAAGCATGATGACCAAACAGAACATATGAGCTGCTGGACAGGAGCCAACACTGAGTCACTGAGTGCTGAAACCCCAGGATGTGGTGCTCTTAATGTTCTCTGTATTTTTAGCATCAAGTGAAGTTCCTCCCTTACATTTATTGAACCTTGTGTGAGTAATAAATGACTCTGACACTTGTGGAGTTTAGATCTGTGTGATGAGTGATCTGCTTTGGAAAAACCTTTATTGGGCGTATTTGAAAAATGTATAACAGCTCATGATTTAAATACAGAATGATGTCAATGAATAGCTTAAAGGCTATGAGGGTGCAGAGCAAGGGCTTTAATAGTCTCCTGCAGAAAACAATGGGCAGTCATGCCACACAATGTTGATGGTACTACGTACAATCCGCTGTATGAATGAGTGTCAATGTACTGAAGCCGCTTCGATAAGGGAATCGTGAAAGATCTTCCGATTCTTTCGGTGTCCTGGAAAATGTTTGTGGTTATCATTTCAGGACACAGTCCCCGACTATACTTTGCACTTTTAATCTCAGCACTGCGAGAACAGAGTAAAGGGTTAGAGGAAACAGTGTGAAAACTTCTGTAATGGTTTATGATCTCTGCCATCACTAAAGCTGCTCCTCAGATATGGAAAGAACAATAGCAGGGATAACAGAGAGCAGTGTGTGAGAAGGCAAGCAAAAGGGGACAGAGATGAAAACAAACCCAAGTGGAGAGGATTTGATAAAGCTGTCACAACAAAAACACAGGAGATGTTTGTTCATGGAAATTCAAGTGCAGCAAGGAGCACCCAATCTATATACACCTACAAATATTACAATAGCATCTTTTAAAATAGAGCCAACTGACAACCACACACTTATAAGTAATTAAATACAGAAAAAAAACACACGGTAAGAAATGGTAAAGAATCAAACATATTCAAATATACTTATATGGACAAAATTGTCAAGTCACCAGTGTCCAACCTCAACATCAGTATGTATCTAATCAGAAGTGTGTGCCCTTTGAAATGTAAAGATACAAATATAGTATTGTATTAAGAAGAGCACCATTGATGCAGCTTTAAAGAGAAACCCTACCCTGTATTTTGATTAATGATGTTTCTCATTAGATGTTTAATTCACATTTTAATCTGCAGTCTGTAAACAGAGTTCTTGTTTTCATATAAGACGCTCAATTTTATTTTTATGTTGATGAGTCAGCAACTGGCAATATTCTGTTATGGATTGCTTTGTTTTATTGATAGATGAATCATTAGATAGGAAGCATGACTATCACTCACTTGATCCAAATATCAGAGTGTTTCAGGATAAAGGGTAGGGCAATTCATATTATATAACACACTGCAGGCCATCCCACGATTGACCTGGTACAGAGTTAACCTGAGGAGTTATCTATCAATCTCAACTCCCGGACACACTGTGTGCTCTCAGCAAAGGCAAATAATGACGAAATGTGACTACTGACGCATATTGTTGCTTGCACAAACTGTCCATTTTGGCCTGTTTGAACAAAAGGGTGGATGTAAAAAAAATAAAACATTCTAAGAAAGGAGACCAATAAAGGCAGTGAGGGTTGTAACATTTTCATTTTAAATGTCACAAAAATGCAGCTGGACTGACATGTCCTGGCGTTTTATTTTCTTGTGCTTGAAACAACAAACAATTAGATCTGATAAGCAACCATATGACTTACACTTTACCACTTATTTTGTCTATTCAAGTTAATGTAAAACATTACAAACTGTAGATGAACTTGTTTAGGTAAAATAAAAAGTGCACTGAGTGTTGTACAGTCTAGCTTGATATAAACAATGTATACAAGGGTAACGTTTCAGTATTTATAGTACAGTATAGTTTTACAGAGAACTGGAGCTTTGCATGTACACTCCCGTCTTCAATTGTGCCTTATCTTTCAAATTCATTCATTATACTTACACACCGAGTCAGTTCATACACTTGTTTGCATGTCAAGGAGATACAAATTGGAACAGACATCAGCTGAATAGCTGGTTCTTGAAAATGGTTATCAATGATCCAATAACATTATCTGCTTATTGGTCAAGTTAATCATCAATCAATATTAACCTCGTATCAAAGTACAGAGGGCAGCGCTTGCATTAGTTTGCCGGCTGAAACCAGACAGCTTATCTCTTGACAATTCGCTGCAATTTCCACATGACTCGAATATACTTTCATTGTCTATTAATCAACCATTAGGGGTTGCTAGCAAATATTTACTATATCAGTAAGAGGCACTGAAACAAATAAATGTAAATGTTTACACCCAGCATCTGACAGCAAAAGGCACACATGAATCATCAGCTGTTATTTTGGCTTTTGACAGTTTTCTCCAGGTGTACCAAACAAGCTCTTTGCATACAGACACTTATTACACAAACAGAAAAAAAATGACGACAACACAAAGTGCAGTTCTATGAAAGTGTAATGGTTTTATTGCGCTACAGTTATGGCCAGATTTATCTTTTACTGCATCACAGAAATCATTCATGCATTTGACAGTGCTAGGAGAGGCGCTATGCTGCAAAAATTACACACTATATAAATACAGCTACAAGTAAAATATGCCAAAATCCTGAGAAAAGGTATGAGCTTTATCTGAACATATTGTCTAATAATACAAAAGACTTGTTTAAAACTTAAGGATGAATACATTAAGAAGTAACACGGAAGCTCGCTGATTAAAAAACTCTTCCCCCGCAAATAAATTACAACCATCGCACTTTTAAAAACAACACAACTCTAAAGCTTTACATTTCTTTTTACCAAATGCAAACAAAACAAAAAAATGGGTACAATTTGAGATTTGCAACAGGTGTTAAGACAATTTTGAGTGGTATAAATTGACAGTAAATACAGCTATAAAAGTGCTCCATCGATAACAAAACTGTTGATTGCAGAAAACGTTTTTTTTTCTTCAGATAAAAATTAAACACTATAAAAGCAATATTTCCCCCCTCTTTGAAAAGCTAAAACTATACTCTTAGACTATGGGCCATAACTTTACAAAAGTGTGGTTACACAGGTCATGGATGAACAGGAATGTTGTTATTGGAAAAGGGTCTCCTCAGGCCCAGCAAACAAAAGGCAGATTCAATCCATGTCCAAGCCTATTCATGCATTCGTCCTGTGCTCATCAGTATTTGCCAAGCTCACACTGGGCAGCGATAAAGCCATTCTAATTACTGGGTTGTCCTTTTGAACCAGCCCGCTCCTGATTTTTTTTAAATGGGTTGTTTAGTGATAGTAGGTCCACATTTCGCTTCCCCAGCAGTTTTTCCTTGAAACAATTTCACAACATTGTCATTTTAAATGCGTGTGTCTTCATCATCAGGAGCGACCATTAGTTGTTCTCTTGTGAAACTGTGGTCTCCTGGAAAAAAGGGCAGAAACTAGTTAGACTAGGGTCAGGTCATTAGTCACTGAATAATAGTAATACATAGACTCACAAGTACTAAACTAAGCAAAAACAGAACTATTTCAAGTCAGTTTACACCATTAGACTTAAGATTTCAAAATTAATTCCAGCACAATTGGTCATGAATACGAAAGAAAAAAAAACCTCAGCCCACAACCAGAGTTGAGAGCGAGAGGCGTGTAGCGAGTTAAGTTCGTTGTGTGCTAACACTTACGTACTTCTACTATCTTATCTCCTCTGTTTGGTGTTGCAATCTAACGCAGAAACTTAACAGTGTTATGGTCAAAGTATGCAGGCAGAGGTCTTATTATTTCGGTGCTATTGTTTTACGTCTTTGTGCTGTTTTCATTTGCATGCCATTTTCAATTAATAACACAAGCATAATTTTTGTTGAAACTGCAGCAATTGGAACACATTTAATGTATATGTAATGGAAACTTCCAATTAAAAGCCTGAATCTTCAAGGGGTGCTGCTGTGATTTTCTGCAAACTAAGCCTAATGAGAGTAGCAAGACCGTATAAAAACGTCCCACTTCCTGCTCTTCAGGCAGGGAGGTGAGGAAGTTCAATTAACTGTCTGCACTGATCCTGTTTGTGGTGGCAATATGTGGTAACAAAAAAAACAACTTTATTACCGGCTTAGGGTTGAGACATTGTACATTAATGCAATCATCTATAGCACATGTGCATTAAGTATTTTATTTAGTTTGTATAAATTAATCTTTGTCTCTCTCTGTCCGGCTGTTGCTAACATCTAAAGCTATATATTTAGGCTGTTAGTGTTTGGCATGCAATGCTGTGATTAAAAACGTGTCAACAAGTCACATATTTAACTTGCCACATTAAGAGTCTCATAACTTCCACCTACAGAATTTACTTTGCAAAATGTAGGAATCCAAAGACCAAAACACCAACACACAACTTTTTAGTTACTTTAAATGTAAATAGTGATAAAAAGTTGCTTACAAATGGAGTTCTCTCCCCGTTTTTGCTCCAGAAGGTCATCTTGGCGATGTTCGTGTGCCCCGTCCGCTGGTCGAAGGTCTGGCAGGCCTGGAACGGGGGACAGTACAGGTGCAAACTGGCAGCGCACTCTGTGTGGCTGCCATTTTCCACACGATGCAGACCAATGGAGTCTAAAATATGCACAAACACACACAATTTAAAAACATACATTTAGACCACTGGAATGCTGTGAATTGAGGCTCACACAGAGGCACTTCCTGAGTGCTGCAACCAACAAACATCCCACCAGGGCTCTGCTGAGGGAAGCACTCCGTCAGCAGAGAGGTGGGGAGAGAAATGAATACTATTCATTGTAAAGTAAGAACTGGCTCCTAACTCCTCTGAGACCAGTTTGACATTATGTAACTGCAGAGGCTGGAAACTTTGCTGTAAAAAGTGCCACACAAATAACTCATTTGCACAGACATCTGACAGTGACAGAGATAATATATATTTCATCTGGGAAAGAAAATGAAGAGAGCTTTTGTTGTATTTACAAGGCATATAATGAGGGTTTCCTCATATTAAGCACCAGTTTCACACCTCGCCCTCACACAAACAAAGTATAATTAACATATTTTAAAAATGATGAATTAACAGGGTCTTAAAAAGTATTAAAAGTTGATAAATCAATTTAGCGGAAAAGAAGGCTATTAAAAAGTATTAAACGGCATTTTCCAAGGTATTACATTTTGTATCTTGTTTTCAATAAGTATATAAATTGTCCAAAGAGGTTGTATTCTACAGTGTGCCTGAATGTAATCATTGCGTAGGTGTGTAGTGTGATTCTGTGTAGTTTATTTATGGAATCCCGTTGGATTTGACGTCATCTGAACAGGACATCGCACGCTCACTGCTTGATAGCGCGAAGGTCCGTTTACGCCGGTTGTTAAACAACATCGTTATGGGGAAATGCAAGTTTGCGTCCAAATGGTTGGAAGACAAGGAGGAAAGACAATCAATACTGTATATAGTGAATGTGAGGTGTGTCACCAATGTAACCGGTTAAAACTCAAAGTGGCGATGAGGTCTTAAAATGTATGGAAAGGGTCTTAAAAAAGGTCTTCAGAGGTATTACATCTGACTTCAGGATTCCTGCATATACCCTGATTAACAATCAAGCCTAGTTAAAAGGATAGAAACACTATGTCTGTCTGGTTTCTCACCATTAATGTAAGCAACCGTGTTTTCCTGGAGGATTCTCTGTGACTTCAGGACCATTTCTCCTTTGGATTTATTCTCCGGCCAGTCAAACAGGGTCTCCTTCAGCTGACCCTGCAGCAGCTTCATAAAACAATGCGAGTCCGAGTGATCATGGATGCTACTGCAAATGGAAAAGATAAAAACAAGCATACAGTGTGAGATCCTTGTCATAACCTTTGGACTAAAAGCACCATTTTAAATCTGCCCTTTAAGGAACTTCTCAGATTCATTAGCAGGGTCAGGGCCAGTTCTCAGAATCTCTTCTTCTTGAGATATGAAATTCAAACTCTTCCTCCAGACTGACACATATTACTTTTATGATATAGGCTCAAAAGGAGCAACATGCAATAGATATCACTAAATAACATCTGTTTAGACAGCCTTTCCGTGGTAGAACATTGGACTCTCTTTATCTCTATTACTGTGAGACAATAATTTCCACAGAAAATCACTTGAATACACGATAGATTGTATAGCTCTATGCAACATGTATCATAGCTTTTCATTTGCAGTTATCGCTGAGATCTTGCTAAATAGCTAAACACAATTTGGATGTTATTGTATGATGCAATAAAATAAGCAACAATTGTGTTTGTGATGTCAACCCTCAATTTGCAGGTGGGAGCATCTCACCTGCCATGGCCTTCTCCCCAGCACAGAATCATGAGGTTGAATTTCCCGTTACCCTCGTCCACCAAGTTTCTTGTGTACCTGAAGAAGAGGACAGTGTTAAACAGGGAGATATAAAGTGCATAGAAAATGTCCCAAAGGAGTCCAGAGAAGAGGCGTTGTCAAACGTTTTACATTGAATGCTACTTCTCAATATTTTTTTAAATCATTTTTAGGACAAAGCTAAATCTCAATGTGACCAAGATTGAAACACTGATCTTTATTTGATTTAAATGTCCAATTTGCCAACATTTAACAGTTAACCTGTTGTAGGATTACTTATAATGGACAACTGTTTAATGTCCCCCGCACTAAATTCCTGCTGGACCTCACACTAACCGACAAGGTGATACTTCATGTTTTTTATTTATTTTATTTCCATACAGATAGCCCAATGATGTCATATAGGCCATTTTGCGTCCATGCTTATTCTGTAAACATTACTCTGCACGTTGTTGTGCTCTGTGTGATTCCGGCAGTCTCTACAAATGTTTTTGAGGCAGCTGCAGCTCCCTCGCGGACAACAGACAGTCATTCGGGTGTGTGTGTGTTCTCAGTGTTGATTGGATGGCACCCTCACCCTCCCTCCATTGACCCCTCACTGAAGCTATTCAAAGCGTTTGAGCACCCTATTTTTTTCTCCATTGCAGATTTAAACATTTAGAATTTAAAATAAACTGTTTTGTATAAGGTTGTCAGCCTAATGTAGGAGTAGTGTTCCTAAATAGACTGCATTCATATGAATTTGGCAGAAGTCGGGTTTTTCCTCTCTTTTATTCAAATACGATGTGACGAAATCTGCATTCTGCATGGAAACAATAACTTGTTTTTGTTCAAACATGAGCACGATTATTTTTTAAATATTGAATTGTTGTGAATGTGTTCAATTATTTGCAAACGTTATGAATAACCTTCTAACTTCACTATATTCGTCATGTCAAGGGCAGCTCCTACGTTTGTAGAGAACAGTCATCGTTGATTTGCAACAAAATCAAGATCAGATACAGACACACAATATTAACAAAAGTTTAAAAAAAAAATAATGTTAAAACAACATTTGGACTGGAGTAAAAGCATGAACACACTAGGCCAAGGCGACAGACAAGGCTACGAATCCACAGTGCAAAGTGCATCAGCATAATAAACGTGTTATATCTGATTAGTTAATGGCAGTCAAATATCATGAGCGTTAATAAACAATCACATTTGTACCTGTACTGGTCGAACTTTGCATGCTTCATCCAGTCCTGGGGGTTGCTCTCATATGCCTCCATTATATTTTGGACCTCCTCAACATTGATGTTGTCACTCTCGAAAATTTGATGCAGGATTTTTATCAGATCCTCCAACGATTCTGGCTTCCCCACCTCTGTGTGCTCCATCTCTCTGCAGGAAGTTATATTTTAGATATTTCACTTCAGTCAAAACAACAAGTCTGTCGCACCAACTTTGTGCGCTCGCTACTTTTTATAGGCTGGTGCCGCAATTTGGGGGAGAACTGGTTTTGGACTGTACCATTAGCTGCACAGCTACAGCACGTATTCTCATTTAAATATTTGTTTTCATGAGCACATAATGATATATGGAAAATATATGGATTAATTGTCATGCCAATCACACCGTATATATTATACATTATACATTTTATATTATATAACATATGCATTCATCTCACACATTAAGAACTTGGACTAATCCTTTTTGAGTCCACCACGTTGTCACAAATACAACCTCCCCCTTTCCCTCTCTCTCATTGAGGCATTTCCACAACAATAGATCTCCAGCCTCGTTTTGTGTGCCCTTTCCTCAGAAAACTCAAACAAGTGGGGATTTTGAAGGAAAAAAAAACGTGTTTTTTTTTACGTTTTGGCAAAAACAATATCATGGTTGCTGGCATTTAGCCTGTCTGGGTGGATATGATACATTTTTTTTGGAATGTAATCACCATTGTTTGCATTAGGTGATTATTTAATTATGACATTAATGTTGTAATGCATTAAGAAAAATATGTATTAAGTAGAACTTTAGGTTAAAACAGCCAAAGGAAAGAAGAAGGAAGAAGAAGGACAATGGGGAAGTGAATTATTAACACTGCAGATGCAAAAGGATTTACTTAATTTAAGACTTGTGTCCTTGTCACCCCACTTAAGAATGATTACATATTTAATTAAATGAAAAGGTCAAATAAAAACTACAAGGGGTTTCCCACTTTGAGTAAAACGTAACTGAAAAGTCACAGTTGACATTTAGGAGTAGCTGCTGCATTAAATATGTTTTTTATAACTCCAACAGTCCACCCATTTCATCTGAAGTCTCGGATCAGTAAACAACAAGAGGCAAATTGAGCAAATGCCTAAATGCTTGACTTAAAGGCTTCCTGTGCAAAGTACACATCTGTGTTCATACTTTAAGTGAATATGTGTCTTTGAGATAGACTTATCTACAAAAACAGAAACATATGCCTAAAACAGGGAGAGATGCTTCTGTCCATGTTTTCATATACCTCATCCTACAGTACATCCTCAGCAAGTCCTCGTCACAGTCTGGCAGTCAGTCCAGCTCTCTCTGTTCGAACAAAACCATCAATAATTTTTGTGAAAAATGCATTCATTCATATAAGTCTCACTGTTAAGAAAAACAACATGTCAGATGAAGCTTGTATGTAGTATATGTTATTGTGGATCATATGTGCTGCAGATTAAATGTACAAAGTGTTTGTTTTTGCGTGAAGCAGTGGCTGTACAACATATCAAATATCACTGAGCTCAGTTTCAACTTTGAGTACAACGTCTTGCTTACAGACACTTTGAAATACCTTTTTGAGAATGCAAAGTGACATACTTGAGTAGGAACAACACACTTCCCCCCCCGCCCCCCCCACCCCCATTTTATTTTCCAAGAAACAGATTAGTTAAATAAAAAAAATAAAAAATGGAGAATGTTCCTTCATCAGAAGTTTTTTCTCTGAGCTGCCACATCACCAACACCAAATGTGCTGTTGCTCCTCCTTGTGGCTACAACTCCAACCAACTTTATGGAGTACCATACAGTCTACAATATGTGTGGTACCAGTGAACTGAGATTTTGACTGATGCTCTGTTATGACAGTAATTCATATACATTGTCTTAATGGCAAATTACATATAATCTAGTTATTTGGTTTACATATTATTTCAAACAAGTGTATGCAGATTATTCCATCTCAAACTGCAATGACTACATCAGATAACATGTCTGCAAGATCTGGGAATCCTTATGGCTCAGTCACTGGTACTTTTTCATTTACAAAGCCATGTTGGATAAACTACCATCTTATATCTGCTCCCTGATCTCTCTGCGAATTGAAAGTACTTATTGCCTGAGATCGCATGCTGTGGTTTTATTAAATGTGCCAAGTGCTAGGACTGTCTTAGGGAAGAAAGCTTTTAGATGTGCAGCTCCACTAACATGGAACAGTCTGCAAAAAGAATGGAAAATTACCAAGCTAGTACCACTACATGTTTTTAAAGCTCGGTTGGATGCTACAAAATCAGATGCTGTTGGTACCTGTAGCTACATGTGGTTAAATATGTCAATTGTAATCCCTGTACATTTTGCTGTATGATGTCCTTTTGTTGTTCTGTTGTTTATGTTTTTATGTCTTCTTGTGGAACCTACTGCTGCAGGTCTCCCTTGAAAAAGAGATCATTGATCTCAATGGGATTTTACCTGGATAAATAAAGGTTTTGAATTGAATGGCATTTCTTAATATGAAATAAAACAATATTGCACTTGATTTTTTAATGGCTCCCAACAATTGAACACAGTTTCTATTTTGAGTTACTATTTCTCTTTTCCAAATGCTCTGTTTTGTTTCTATCTGCTAATGGTACTAATAACAGAACATCTATTGACTGGCAAAACCTATAAGCAAGTATCATATCCATAAATAAAGAACATCACTAACTATACTATACTACATTAGCATTCAAATTAATAGATGAAGAATACTCAAGTGTACTCCTAATGACTTAATTTTTCCTTATGATGCACTTTCTTGGTGGAAAAACAAAATTCTTACAGTCAATGCAAGTGTAAAGATCCAAGACAAAGAAGGCATAAAACAGCAAGGCTAAAATATTCAATAAAGACAGAAGTATATGAATAGGCAAATAACAAAAAAATCAGCAATGTAACTTATTTTGTTAACCCTGTAAGGCCCACTGTTGTAATTTTACAACATTACTTTAAGCTATCCTAAAAAAGTCAGTAAATGTTTTTTTTTTTTAAAGAATACATTTACATAGTCAAAAGGTCCTTTTGTTAAGCCTCACAATGCTATTTGTTAAGACCACTGTTAAGATAGCGGAAAAGGTAGGACCCAAATGCAGACTACAAAAAAGGTAAAAGGTCTAGAAACAAAAGCGAGCTTTATTTAAAAGCTGATAAACAAAAACATGGCATGAATCGAAAACATAGATAGCACAAGGTAGCATAAACACACAAAACTGACCGTGACCAACATGGAGGGAGACGGGAGACAAACAATGAACCGACAAGGGAACGCAGGAAAAGACAAGACTAAATACAGAGAGGGGTAATCACGGGACAAGAAACAGCTGGGCAGGGGAGGTAGAAACACAAGGGCAACAGGTGAACATAATTAGACAATCAGACACAGGAGGAAAAACACAGGAAGGAAGACAAGAGACAGGGAGAACAGAATTACAAAATAACACCCAAAACAAGACAGTCTAAACTAAAAACGTGACATAACATTATGATCGTGACACTATTGGGTAGTACATGTGTTTATAGGTCCTGCCCTCTGGCCATACACTCACAAAACTTCAGAATCTTCAAACGAGCAACATCTCTTTGTTTTATTGGACTGGATTTGTCAGATTCAAGGAAGTAAAATGCCTAAAAAAAATGTTGTTGTGATTATTACAATGTATAGAACATGTACATATTTAGTTGTTGTGGAATACATCACATTTGATTTTGAGCAGCTTATGTCTATGTTGTAATATTACAACACAGTGTGCACTTATTGTAAGTCGCTTTGGATAAAAGCATCAGCTAAATGTTGTTCACATATGGAAATAAAACACTAATAGAAATATAATGTCTTTGATAATTCACTATAACTAAGTTCTAAATGTGTCCTCTGTTAAGATTTTGAATTAAGACCAGAATTGAATAAATTAATACATTATTTCTGATAAAAGAATGTGAAATGATATCTGTAGCAATATTGTAAACTCTACTTGTATCTTATCAGTTAATTAATTACAAAAATACATTTAACTCTGGTTCTGGCAGAAACAGTTCTTTCTGAAATGTTTTGGGAAACTTGGATGTATCCCTTTCAGTATGATAATTAGCCTGTTAGCATTAGCCAGACAGCATTGTGTGACTTGTTGAATTGGTTTACCTGCATGTGTGGGTGTAGGTATTCCTTTTATTGTGATACAAGGCTAAGCCAGTTAGTATTGTGTGAGTGACTCAAGTGTACAATGCAAATAGGATTCAGATACTTGTTGCATCGGGACACCTGGAAGGGGGTGGTGCATGCATTCCTTTTAGTATGAAAATAGGCTAAGCCAGACAGAATGAACACTTGTCCCACCACCCTATCTATTCCTTCAGGTAATCTAATACAATATAATAAGCATATGTATTATTGATACATATTTCTTAATTACTTTTTCCATTTCAGAATGGGACCAGCAAAGAGAAGTCCTCAATTCAGTGTGCAGGATGTGATTGCTGCCATCCAAAACGGAGAAAGTGAGTTTGAGTTGTAATCAGAGGACGTGACTTTGATGTGTACCAAGGCAGTGTCAATGGGATACGAGCCAAGTCTGAACTTGGATTGTCAGGTGATGTTGTGATGAAGCTTGCCTCCACGCTTCCAGAAGGTCAGAACTATAGATTTACGCAGACAACTACTTCACCTGTGTCCCATTGGTAGTGAAGCTCCTTGATCGTGGAATTCGTTATGTGGGAACAGCCAGGCAGGTGCGCTTACCCAACTGTAACCTTGAAGAGGAGAAGAGCTTGAAGGAAAAAAGGGAGAGGAAGCTTTGACATCCGAGTGGAGGCCAACCACAACATCTGTGCTGTCAAATGGTATGACAGCAGAGCGGTCACACTTGTGTCATCCTTTGCTGGACCAGAACCATGAAGTCCCGACGCTGGTACGTGTACATCTTCTGGCACACCATCATCCTTGCCGTGATCAAAGCCTGGCTCCTCTGCAACAGGAGACAGTTTCAGGCAGATCTAGCATCCTCTCTCATCCTGGTAAGAATGCATTTCTGCTATTTGTCGTTTGTAGTAGTTTTAAAAAAAAATATTTCACTCAAATATTTTTGACTTGTATCCTAATGTATTTTTAACATGTATCTTGATTGATTCTGTTCTAATGAGGTGAACACAACTCCTCTGAAAACACCAAAGAGAGGACGACCATCTTCAGAAAACGGGAGCCCAGCAGCGACAGTGACATCAAGGAGCCCGTTGAATGCTCAGAAGAGACCATCCTCAGGTGATGGGAGTCCACCAAACGGGGCCCCATCCAAGAGATCACATCCACTGGATGTACGCAAGGACCTAGTGGCACATTTCCCAGGGAAGACCAAGAGAGGAAGCTGTAGACACTGCAGTAAAGGGTACACAAACACCCAATGCACCAAGTGTGATATCCGTCTGTGCTTTTCTGACGACAGAAACTGTTTTTTGGACTACCATATTCATATTCAATAAATAACTATTCATACAAAATATGACTGATGTGTGATTATTATGCATGCTATATACTGATATAGGGCTAAGCAATCAATCCTGCAAATCAACCCTTAGTTGTTCAATATATTTATTCAGACAATGTGAGTAGAAATACAGGAATTCTGCTCCCACCTATGCCCAACGTTGCAATATTACAACATTTCCCTAAAAACGTACCAAAATGTGACATTTTCGTCAAAACAAGATGCTGATCTATTAAAAAAAATTAAAGGAAAAGAAGAAAGCCAAATAAAAACAAAACACTAAATCTTTGTCAAAACACAAGAAATCGAGACACCGTTGAACGAAATATGTTTTTGGTATAACGCCACCCCATGGATGATGCGAGTATGACTCTTTGAAATAAGAAAACAAACTGATTTTCCCTCTTCGGCGAGAAGCGCGTTTCGGCATAGATTTGAGCCTTTCCGGCCGCCGTAGCAGGAGGAGGAGAGCATGACTGGTCCTTTGACGTGGAATATTTCCGTAAAGAGACGATGGAGGAGTAGCAGCGTGTAGCTCAAAAGCTATCCCGTATTAACCTTAAATCGAGACAGGATTTAGCCCTGAATCCCACTCGGACCTGGGTTAACGGCGGGAGTTAACAGACCAGACTTTTCAGTCTTTCCCAGACTGACCCTTTCTGCTCCCCACCTCCCTTAGCTCAGCTTCAATCATGATTAAAGCCATTTTAATATTCAACAACCATGGGAAACCGAGGCTTTCTAAATTCTACGAGCATTATGTGAGTAACATGTGATCTATTGATATATTGTATTGTTTGTAAAAGGTTGTGGTAGGCGGAAGTGAATTGCAAAATTCAAACTGCGGCTTTTAGGATACTTTGTTTAATGTTCTCTTATAATGTAAACCAAGGCAGGTGTAGCTATAGCTTTAAGATGCATTCATGCTAACTGTTTGAATGGCAATGTGTGTAGCCTACTTTACAACCCCGGCCCTCGATAAGCTGTTGTTTCTTACTGACCCTATTGAAAAACATGTATGAATCATGCTGTCCTTCTTAAAATATGAATAATTAAACGTGTGCAAGCCGAAGCGAGGCTATCATGTTCCTGCCGAGCTTGTCTAAACTGGATTGTACCCACTTCTCATGTTAAACCCAGTTGTTGGGGATGAACACATTGCATTGAGTTCGCTCTGTTTGTGTCACATGACTTTAATAACGCCCTTGTGAGTGTCCCGTGCTCACTGCAGCCTGTTCAAATAGCTGTATCCATTCACTCGAGGTGTAATATAAAGTGACCTGCCTGATCTGACCGGAAACCATGCAGGTAGCAACTAACAGCTTATGTAATATGCTTTGTCGGCTAGCTGTTTTGGCTTGTTTTCATAATTGTATTTTTATCTTAAGGTTGGCTACATGCCCCTTCTCTAATATGTGTGCTGCAATAGCAAGGCAACTTAGATCAAGAAACTCAATGAGTAGTTGGCAACTATATTTTTTGATTCACTTTTCAAGCAAAAATGCTAAATATCTGCAGGCACCAGCTTCTACAATGAGAGGATTGGGGTCTCTTTGAGGGAAACAAACTTGCTACATTAAGTGCTGTGCTTAAGTTACATTTAGAAGTACCTCTATCTCCTGTTACCTATTACATCTACTTAACTATTAATAGACTACTCATTTATTACTACATTTATTTGATAATAAAACTCATTGGTTATTTTGCAGATATAGGTAAGGTGAGTAATAAAAAAGTATCCACAAATACATTATGATAGTACATCAGTATAAAGACTATTTCAGATTGCATCAAACCTGTACCAGCTGCAACATTAAAATGAGGAGTTATGCTCAGTTATAGTCCATTATTATCATATATTATTCTGAAATGAGCCACTCTGCTAAAGTATATTTTACGTTTTATATATGTGTTAATGCTAATACTTTTTAATGGAATGTCAATAAAACAGCGGAAATGCCTACCAAATCTTCCCAGAGAATGATGTGACATCTTCCAATTGCTGTTTTTTGTCGGACAATCTGTACAAAACACAACATAAGAGCAAAAAGGCCAGCGGGGGCCAGCAACTGTTTGGCACTGCTGCCTCTCCAATCACTCAAACCACTAATCAATAATTGAGAAATAGTTTCCGATCTAGCCTTTGGACAGCAGGTCGGGGGAAATGAAGACATTCAACTGTCACCTTTGGCTCGAAGAAACATTTCTTTAGATTTTATAGGGAACAAAAGACTCCCACAGTCTTTTGTTCTTGTTGTTGACCCTTGGGATTAAACCCTAGGCATGTCTACAGCTCTAAAAACTATACATTTAAGAGCAATCCTACTCTCTTCACTGGAAAACTCAAAGCAAAAACAGCATTGATTCATTTAGGAAGTCCCTGTATATATTTGTTTGGAAGCAGATGTATGTATTTGTACTTCAGTAGGATACATTGTATTTGATTAAAAGAAGGCCATGTAGACGCCATCTGTTATATTCAACGTTGACGTGTCAGATTACTGGCCAGCAGGGTATACATCACACATGGCTGTGAAAACTGTTAGCAGTCAGTTTAAATACTATGTATGTCATTAGCTCGTAGTGTTGAATGGGCTACAATGGTTAATATAAAGTAATGTATACTGAACGTGACAATATTAGAGCTTCACATCTTTTTGTCAGCCTATGTATTCACAGGCTTTAATCCTACTATTGAGTGTTCATAAACACTACATAACATTACATAGTATCATAGAGGAGATGGTTTAAAATACACTATAATGTAGTTGTCAACATCTAAACCACAGTTTTTATAATATAAAATGCATCTTATTAGTAGTGATTATAGCTTACTTATACTGTACATTCATAAACACATACCAATACCTTACATCAGCTTACAACTACATTATAGTATGTTATACGGTTTTACAATCATTTTTTTCTGGGTGTTTATGGGACAGCTTACAGGAAAGATTATTGGGGTATAACAAGAGGGGTGTATAACGTAGCAACAGTGGGGGATGTTGTGCCTATATATGTATTTTATCAATAAGGCCGTCTGTATTCCCTTAAATTAAATATAAAATCTCTCCCACAATGACATCAGTGAAGTTGGATGTTACTACTATTAAAACCTTGCCATAACTTGGAAAGGAAATGTGTGAGTTCAGTAAAATGATCCAGAGGAAGTTGTGATAGTTCTTTATAACCCTTAACACCCGAAGCATCTCAATGAGAAGTTTAAAAGCTGCTGTATCCTTCAACTGTGAGCACTGTTTCCCTGCTAGTCCCATGCAACAAGTCACATGACCAATACAGCCTTCCAGCCAGCTGCACAGCAGACGGCCTCTCATCTCCTTCTGCTCACTGAACTGTTGCACCCCGAGAGGACATTAGCACCCAAGGGTGAGGCTGACTCAGTGTTAGAGCTTCCCACGACAACATTAACCACCAACTCCCTCTGATTTATTATTTCAATGTTTTATAGTCCCATATGCTCAGTCCCATATGTTTTGCATGTTTATCGCATGGTTTTTTCTGGTCCTCAAGTGTGCATTTTAATTTTATTTGTATCAACTAAAAGAAACCATAAAACTGGATGAAAATGTCATCTGGTTTTTCTTGCATGGGACTTTGGACCCCTATTAAGTCAGTACATCTTCAACTGTTGGTCCTCTCTTTAAACCTTTTGTGGTTGTAAAAATGGCCAAGGATGTTTGCGGTTTTACAGAATCCATTAGCAAACAATAAGATGAGCCTGCATTGGTTCAGTTTGTGCAATGACATCAGTGACTGCATAGCCCTAGGGTATTTTAGATATGACAAGAGGATGGTTAGTATAACAATCATGTTTTTTCACTCAAAACTAATACATTCATTCAAGAAAAAGAGAGGGAACCATTATTTTCAGGCCAACTCTGGCAGCAATTTAGTGCACTAACATCGCATTATTTACAGTCATTTCTTTATTTAACAATCTATGATTTCTCGTTCCTCCTGCAGAATGAAGACACAGAGCAACAGATCATCAGGGAAACTTTCCACTTGGTCTCGAAAAGAGACGAGAACGTCTGTAATTTCCTTGAAGGTGGAATGTAAGTATGCAGCAACAGTAGATACGCATGTGACCGTGTCTGATTGGGAGTGGAAGTAAATACTCAAGTATACCATGTTCTCGAATGCAGCATCACAGGGATTCATTTCACACAATAAAGGAAAGCTCAAAGGGCTTTACGAATGATGATAAGCAAAAGAACAGTGTTTGTTTAAAGTTCATCTATCATTCATGATGGAGGAACCAGCAAGGTGTCGTTTTACTTGGGGAAACGTCACTGCTCACGCTAAATATTGCACACTTACCCTGTCTTTTGCTTGAAATACTACCAGGTTTGTTAACCATTTAGAGAACTACTGAGTATTATCACAAACACTTAAAATCCCTTCACCTTTCCCCTCTGGTTTTTAAACAGGATTAGGGGCGTTACAACATTTTCTGTGGCTTAAACCCTTGTAGTGATTTCTCCCAGTCACTGAGGTCTTATCAAACCCGTGAATAGATTAGCATTAACTTTCATATCTTCTCTCGTTAATATATTATATGTCTTATCTTTATATATGTTGACTCATGACCAAAAACATCCTGTTGTTTCTCTTCCAATGTTCCTGTACCATAACATGTTTACACCACATTATGACACAGACACATATCTTATGTAAATGTTCTCTAGTTCGTGATTGATGTGTCAGTGTATTTTGTGTTTTAGATGTATTTTATGTATTCATTCAGGACAGGTATTGATGTGATGCTTCTGTATCATGTGTTTCAGGTTGATTGGAGGATCAGACTACAAACTGATCTACAGACACTACGCCACTCTCTACTTTGTCTTCTGTGTGGACTCATCAGAGAGTGAACTAGGCATTTTAGACTTAATCCAGGTACAGGCCCAGAAGACAACAGAACAGTGTTGTCATGTATGTCATTTCAGTGTGTTGATTGGTATATTTCTGTGTTACAATCGATGGCATTGTATTCTTTGTATTTCCAGGTATTTGTGGAAACGCTGGACAAATGCTTTGAGAATGTCTGTGAGCTTGACTTAATTTTCCATGTAGACAAGGTAAGAAATGCCTCTTTATGATGTCAACTATATATAATGCTTACATGTTTGATTATCAAAGTAGCTGTAAAATTGAGCCTGAGTTATTATTTTTTCACTGTTGTGAAACTAATCAGATTTTCAGCAACTTCCCTGATTTTATAATTGAGCAATGTGCACATCATCGGTTTGTCAAACCACTTTTCATTGGGTGATGTTGCAAGCATCAAATCACTGACATTTTCCTTTTCTCAGGTCCACAACATTCTGGCGGAGATGGTGATGGGCGGGATGGTCCTGGAGACCAACATGAACGAAATCATCATGCAGGTGGATGCCCAGAACAAGATGGAGAAGTCTGAGGTAAGCCTAGTCATTTCTGTCTGCTGTATGTATGACGTGACCCTCCCTCCTTTACTCCCCGCGCTATTGTATACAGTTTGCAGGCATGTGTGTATGCTGCACCCTGCATGCTTCTCTCCTGTGACCTTGTGGATGCTCCCTAACTATTATTGAGTGTTTCTGCTTTTTCGGCCACTCCTCTCGCTGCTGCACCGCTCTCAGCACAGGTCAAGACTCAACATATCCTCTCCTGTATTCCTCAGTATTACATACAGAATCACATCCATCACTTTTCTCATTATTATGGACACTTAACTCTACGATTATCAATAACATCATTTGACATTTATCCATGGAATATGGAATATGGAATGTTCTTTTATTGTTTCAGAGCATAATGTGGATTTTATTTATTGGAGTAAATGCTTTTCCAATGTTTTGTTACATCTATGTAAGTCAGTGTCCTTGCTCTGATATTTGTTCTTTGCAAGGACATTGCTTTGCTTTCCATTCAGCTTCTGCTAGCGGATAAACATTCGTTTATTTCAGTTTGAATCAGACAGACAGCCAGAGACAATTTCATGAAGTCATTTCTGATTTTGCATAATGTGGATTTAGGCTCTGATGGGCCTTAAAGTGAACTGCACTAATGATTTGGCCTTGTTTTTAAATTCCTTACAATGCACTGAAATTATGTCTAAACATCCAGGCAACATTTTTGTGCCGACACAACCTTGTCAAAGTTTGTATCTTGTTGTTAACACGACAAAGTGAAGGGTGACATTGTACCTTATTTTAACTGACTGACATCAATTGCGTGCGATAACATTTGAATTTAAGTTCACGTGTTCACAAAGAACACTTTTAGATTAATCTGACCTGCATTGTGTGCTTTTAACGTCAGAATCTTCTTTTTGATCGATGTTCTGTAAGCAGAGTCTTTTACTGTTCTACAATCATCAGAGCTGCTCTGCCCCTCCCTCTTGGACCTACCCTAGACCGCAGTGTGTGTGTTTCACACTGAGGCTTTCATTTCAAATGACATTGTCCATTTATAGGGCAGTGTCTGGAGAACAAAGAAGGAGCTGTTCTCCTTCCAGACTGGCAAAGACTGATTACTCGGCATTAGGGTTTTTTCATTAAACTTTTCTCAATTAATATCTTTTTTTCTATCTTTCATTGTGGGAAAAGCTTCAGATCAATATTGTCTTTAAAGATGTGGTCTATGATAGGTCCTATCACTTTTTTCTGTGGAGATAAACTGTAATTACTTTAATCTGCTTTAACATTCCTCATTCCTCTTTTTTCCTGACCCTGTCTAGTTCTTTCCATTCTTCTCTCTCTTTACAGACGTTTATCTTTCAGTCTACAAGGCAGGACAGGTAGACACAGGTACTGCTAAATTTACAACCAAGTACTTTAACCTTAACTGAAGTTTACTTCCCCCTCCCCCGGAGTCTCACCATACGGCCCTCCATGTTACAGCAAACTGACGTCACTAACATACAGTAGGAATCTTTTATGGCAGACCCAAAAATGTTGCCACTGGTGAATGTAATAAGTGGTGGACTACCTCCTGCAAACAAGCTGACAGTATAATGCAATCATATACAACAGATTGCTTTGGAGCACTTTGTACAGTTGCACTGCTCCGGGAAGATAACTTCTGAAGCTTTACAGCATTACATGTTGTAGGGTGTAACTATTATATTGTTCCCCCACTGTAGTTTCAAGGAATGTGAAACTGGCAGCCTAGAGAGGCTATATAACTTTGTGTATTTAGAAGCTTCTTAAACAGCATTGAAAGGCCATTTTCTAAAATGATCTTCTGAATTCTTTAACACAGCTTTTGAACAAGTTAATAACTAGCTGTAACTACATATTGACCTTACAAACACCAGAGGGTATACCGTTTCTGATTATCTTGGCTAAAAAACAAATAAGCGTATTAACAAGATTGATTTACTTTTTCCTATATATTCAACAATAAAACTAGATGTTCCTTTTGTTACACTAGATTTGTTCCCATTTATTTTCCTTTTGCTCCAGTATTCCTCACAGACAAAAGATGGGGTACAGCTCGAGCCTTTAATACGGCTATCTGATGTACATAGAGCGGAGAATCAAGCCATTGTCCTGTGTTTCCCAGCTGGTGTTACTAGTTCTGTACAAATCAGTCACACAGCGTTTGATTAACAACCCACTATCATGGACTTGGAAAGTAAGTCTTTAGGCTACTATGTGAGGAAAAAATAATCTGGAGTCTGACTCCTGAATACTGAACCTACGTGCTGGATCAGCATTCCTCTTGGTTAACGCTACGGTCATCTTTCCTTCGAACACAAGTCTCCTTGATTCTTGGCAGAGGAAGGAATGCCCTATAAGACAAACGGTCCATTGAAATCACCTTGTGAAAATAAGTGAAGTGGATACATCTAAATTCCAGACATGCTTTCCTTTTGGGTCATATCTCTAAGTGATTTATGAGGTGTTCCTAACCGAGGCAGTGAGAGAACATACAGTTCTCTGTGGTTTGAGCCGTTTGGTGATTTTTGGGTCTGTCTGCTAAAGATTCAGATGGGGGATCTCTAACTGCAGTGATTCTCAAATGCCTGCTCACACATGAGACGAAAACATCAAATCTTTCACTCTCCACAGATGTTTTTAATTGTTCTAAAAAGCTTGATGCTTTACTTAAAACTGCTTAATTGCTCAGTTTCACTTTGAGATTCATTGTGTTAGTGTAGTCCCTGAGAATAGATTTCCCATTGTAGTTTATAACCTCCTCATGTCATCGGAATGTAACACTAACATTCTAGCAACTCTATTCACAAAACTGTATTTAGATAGTTAAAGTTATGTGTGGCCAAAAAATATTTCAGCCCACTAGAAGTAGAGCATCACCTGCAGTATTATTATGGTTAATATAATGTTGACACACGTTCTATACATACCTATCTATCCAAACATCATTTCCGTCTTCATATCCAAATCCATTTTTCTGCTTTACCCAATTCTCTCCTTGTCTTTGTACCCTTCTCGGTCCTCAAGAGTCCGGTGGGTTCACTTTCCAAGCTATGCTGCCTTTTGTCCAATTGATGAATGTCCAGCAGTGATCAGCAAATCAAAATTCGGGAATGGTTTAGTACAGTGTGTCCTCACAGTGGATTCATAATTGGCTCTGGTTGTGGTGTAAATCATTGTAGAGCCATATAATGCATGTGCATATGAAGCTATGAAGGCATCTGAATGTACATTTGCACATAATGTCTGTCTTAGTAGCTGTCAGTGCTTTGCATTTTGTCAACAGTTGACTGTTTTTTGTCTAGTACTCTGGTTAGCACAGTGTGTCTGTCCGTGTGTGTATGTTCAATGTGCTATCGTGTGCAGCAAGTGTTAAAATGTACTGATTTCTATCTTTTCAACCCTCCATGTGTTTTGTGTGTATAGGCCGGTATTGCAGGAGCACCTGCTCGTGCTGTATCAGCTGTAAAGAACATGAACCTCCCGGAAATGCCCAGAAACATCAACATTGGTGACATCAGCATAAAAGTGCCAAATTTACCCTCCTTCAAATAGTGGCCGCGTTCCTGAAGCTGCAGATGTCAGCCAAGGTTTACCGTGATGCAATCTGTTTACCAAAACCTCAAATTGCTAACTTTTATCAAAACTTTACATTTTGAAGGTACTGTGTGATTTGACACTCCTTGTTTTGTGTTCTCTTTTTGTTTTTCCTATTAAAGAAAAAATGTTTTATGTGTGTTTTTTTCAGTTGGAAAGAAAAATGAAGTATTTATTTATTTGTGGTACATTCCTTCTGCCTCGCTGGAGGTTGGCACTTAAAGATCAGCTGCTACAGTTCAGATCTGTGTCAGTTTGTAACTGGAATTATTTCACTGACTCAAGTGTTTACTTAGAAGACAAAGTGTGGCAGGTGGTGAGGTTTTGGTACAGTCTCATTGGTTTGGTTATGGCAGACCAGAGAAATCAATCAATACAGGATAGGGCATGAAACTATTTCCAATACAAAATTGGAACAGGTCTGCTACAGTGTTGACAGTCATAAATATACAGCTTGTTTGTAAAATCAGTGCAAAGAATCTTATTATATTACAGTTATGCTGTGTGAAAGAAATATGGATATATATGCTGAAATTTTTTTCTCTTTTCTTATCTGTATGAACAAACCTTTTTAAATGATTTATCATGTCTCTTGATCTTAATTTTAAACTGTGCATGAATTTTTTTTCCCTCTTCTTTTTCAACATAATAAACTGTCGAAACCCAACCTTTGTGTTTGCCTTTTTTATCATTACTATAATCTTACATTGCCAATTGTTCTTTAATACAGTAGCACTGCCATAGGTGCATCATGCCAGTACATTTTCACTCTGTTATTATACACGCACATCTGCCCCTTCCTTCAGACTTCCTTACAGAGCCCCTCCTCCAACACACACGAACGCGCACATGACCAGCAATGAGGACACGAGATGGAAGGCTGTAGGCCATCCAATTATTTTAGCCGGCCCGACTAAAATAATTGGTCGTGCTTTTTACAGCTCCACGGCTTCCACCGATTTATGTATTTATTGTCAAAGCATTTCATATTCATTGCTATCGGGATGTTAAAAGCATTCCATGGAATATAACAAAAAGTGTTTCTGAAGTGAACTACCTACCCCACCTTTAAGGCATAAGCCCTTAATGGTGTAAACAGTGTCAACAGATAATTCTGCTTTCACGTGGAATGATACATGATATCTAAAAAAAGGTGTGCTTGCTTTGCCTATTAGCAAGCAGTGGATACATATGTACATTTACTCAAGAACAGTACTTGAGAACAATTTGAACATGGCATAGGCCTACTGGTATTTCCATTTTATGCCTCTTAATATGTGTGAAAGCGCTACATAGGGGAAGATTGTTCTTCTTATGTCATTTAAAGGTACTTTTTTTTTTTCATGCTCTTTTATGTCACTAATCTTCCCAAATTGCCAAACTACACAATTGTTTTTTCTTTGATGTCTTTGTTAGTGTTAGAAGCAGATTAAAAACATATTCAACAACACTGAAAGAGGCCACTATGTACACTTTTGAATTCGGGACATTACCTTGTATTGGAGAATTATTGAAGATATTTTTAAGATTTAAAGGATGTTGTTCAATACGATTGAAAATCATGGCTGTAAATAATACTGCTTTCGCTTTTTTGTTGCCGGCTCTGTTTGTCCATCGCTAGTTCCGTAGTGACTCTTGGAGCAGACTCTTTTATTCTGCGCAGCTTTAACGCAAACTACGCTCCGGCGAGTTCCATATATTACACGGTCACATATGCTTGAATGTAAAATCTGTGTCGACACCGATGTGTCATCACTCATCAGTGACACCAAAGTAAATGTTTAAAAAAATAAATCTCTTTAGTATATTTATTGTTCAAGATCCTGTACTTCACTGCGCATTATCGCGCAGCTTTGACTGTCACGTGAGTCGTCTCGTGACAACAGGAAGAAGGAATGACAACAGTGTGAGGATGCTGCTGCTGCTTTGACACTTTTTTACTCTTATTTTTCATTTTCTGAACGCAACAGCCAACAATGACTTCTTTTATAAAAGAAACTCAAAGGTGGGCAGTTTCTGTTTGTTTAAATTCAGATAAAATAAAAAATGTCTAGCTAACGTTATGATAGTTAAGTCTTATGACGAGAAAAGAAGGCTTCCTCAAAGTGATCCATAGTGTGACTTGGTGCATAACTTGACATTATCAAACACATTACCCTGTCTCGGTGACTACTTGTGTTACTGCTCTTTTCATTAAGCCGTGACTTTATCCTACTGCTTTGCTCTTTTGGGGGGAGACGTTTACACAGGCTGTCTTATGCCAATGTCTGCTATCACACCCAAACACATTTACAAAAATAAGTATTTTTGGTAGCCAGCATTGAGATGTAGACAATCCCCTTTGCATGGTCTCCTATAAGGAATTTAAGAGGGACATGTAAATTAATAAAAAATATCACAAAAGGCTCCAAATAAAATGTAAAAGTTACTTTGCAGAACAAGGTTTTACACTTATATTTCATTTGCAACATATTGTAGCTATGATGCATTGTTTTAGGTTCAAACTAGGCAGCAGCATTGGGATATCAAACCACATCTAATATTATAAAACAAAGACACTGTGACTCTAATATAGTAATGAAGTGCTGTGCATTTGAGTAAAAATGTCAAGAGGTTGGGGGTTAAAAGTCACAAATGTTCGAAATGGGTGCTTTTATATGCCATAGTAACACATTATTTGTAGTGCTACTATAGTTATTATAAGTCGTTTTTATTTTTTAGATGACGGAAATAAAATATACACTCACTCATGCTCACATACAAATGGCTCAAGAGTAAAGCAGTATCATTATGTAACATGCACAAACTGGGCCTATAGTCACCTATTTTCTCAGAACTGACAGTTTGAAATACATCAGTGTTTGTAGTGCTACTACATGCCTAAAGACAATGTTGACTGCTCCCGTTTGATTGAGTACATGAGCTTTGTAAAATTGCTACCTTAGTTTTGAATGCACATATGTACAGCTATTGAAATAGGTAGGTAAACATACCTACTCTGTACCTGCATGTGACTTTTATGTCTGTGTTTGCGTAATAGTCTTTATACTCAAACTCATGTACACCCAACCTTTAAGCTGCTATTTCATCTATATATAGAGGATGTGTTGAAATGAACTGACAACCAGCTTGAGATATGTCTTATGTACTTGGGCAGTGCACTTTGATTCTGATGCTTTCTGCGCCGCTGATATTAACACTTGCAACTCTTCTTCCCAAACAGCATAAAAGAAGCTGTAACTTTTATCAACGCAATTGATGTGAACAAGTTCTCCAGGCTGATCTCCCGCATCATACAGAAGCTGCATCTGAAGGTACAGCAACCACACAGCGTTATGGACTTGTTAAAGACAAGAGGCTTGTGAGGCAGAGCGCAGAGTGCATAATCACCTGCTGGAGTATTACTGACACTCAGCTTTAATGAATGCACACACGTTGATCATGCTGCTTCTACACAATACTCAGCGGTCAGTCATTTACTGCAAGAACATTGTGTCTGTTTTTTCACTTTTTGATTTGCTAAGAGAAGGTAAACATGTTTGTCTTATAACAATATATCATTAAATGATCATTTGAAATGTCGGAGCATGTAATCCCCAGGAGTAACCAAAAAGATTTGATGTTTTGAAATACTTAGCACTAACATGTCTCCCTGTTGCACTTAACAAGCAAAGAGCTATTCTTAATGTTAATTCATTTAAATAGTGCTTTTCTGCCCTGTCAAGTCAAAATGTCCGCTGTTAAAAAAGTATTCACATCAGTTAACCCTCTCTGATATATTTTGTCTAAATGGCTACACATATGCTGGTCTCTGACGCCCACACTTAAACTATACTAAACCTTTTTCATATGTTTTATGATCAATCATTTATCAATTCTCACTTACATTTTCTTTATTTTTTCTGTGGATATTTTCAAGCAGACACAGTAATGAATGCTTTCTGCACAGGGAGAGCGTACATTCAGTGAAGAGGAGGAAGAAAAGCTCCAGACTGCTCTCTCATTGGATAAACAGGCTCTCCATCTGGTCCTGGAAACTGCTGCCTTTATACTTGAACAGGTGTGGTCGTCCGACATCTGCTACACTATTGAAAGGGTTTTACTTGATTTGAGTTTATAACGTGATTGTGAAAGGTTTTCATTTTGCAATGTTGGAGTTCTTTGATAGATACATCTTGGTTATTTGAAAACATATTTTATATAACATTAGATATTAGCTTTAATAGAGGAGGTCAAATAAAGATGGACATTGGGGGTAAAATGCAGGGCGCAGGGTTAAGTGTTGTTTGGTTTGAGTCGTTTGTAAAAACAAACTAAGTTAACAGAGAGAAACAGAAGGAATATGATGACTAACCATTTATATATGTTGTTTCATTGCACACACACATGCATGTCCACTTTATATTTATCTCCTGGGATTGTTTACATTACACACATGCATTTAACTGAGAAATTAATGTTTCTATGACCATGGAAAGTGATGGAGAGACAGATCAGTGCATCCCTTTACAAACCATGCTTATGAAAAGAGACAACCCACCATTGTTGACCACATCTCTTAGATTGCATATTCTCAGTAAATCAATATGTCGAGACTTGATAAGAGCCTCACAAGATAGAAATTAGCATATTGCTGTTGTTACTGTTAGTGTGGATCACATTGTGCTTCATTTTCTCCAGCTGGGGTCACTGTTGTATCATAGATTGGTGTACTGTATGTGTTTGGGGGAAATAGGAATATGACGATATGAAGGATCTGTTAAACCTGTGAAAATGGTTAATTGCAGTTTTATTTATAGTTAAAATACTTCTCTAATCTGTATTTCCTTTTATTGTAGGCAGTGTATCATAGTGTGAAGCCGGCCTCTCTGCAGCAACAGCTGGAGGTGGTACATCTTGACCCAGACAAGGCTGAGGCGTTCTCTCAAGCATGGGCCACAGCTGCACCTGAGCTGGTGGAGAAACTAAAGCACAGTACCTTCGCCCCAAAGAAGGTACGGCTAATTCGCATGTTTTTCGCCTCTAACTCTGAACTTTACAAGCACCTGATACAGCACCATTTGAACCTGACCTTGTTTCTAAACGCAATTGTAAGATTCATCCTCTCCCAGACACTTTTTGATTGAAAGTATAGCTTACTTATTCGCATGGTTTCATCCCTTTTTAGTGGGACATCATAGTCTCTTGATACTAAATTGTGTATCAACGTCGTGACTATCCATATCAACGCTGACCTGCTTTTGTTTGAATTCATTCCTGCTGTTTGTATCATAAAGAGTTATCACACAGCTCACAGAAGTTGTCACATAAACTGAAAAGAAGGTGTTCCTCTCTACAAGTTGATTACGCGCTGACACTTCAAACGCAATCCTTACAAAGTCAAGGGAATTAAGATCTAACAGAGTAAATAAGAAGCATGTACACATCAGTCACTTTATGCTGGAGCTGTTGCTGCTGTCATTTCCCCTGCCTGGGTCTCTCACGTCAGATTTCTCTCTCGTCTCCCCCATGAATTCGTTGCTGCCATCAGAAGGCGGTGGAAGCCATTTTTCCTTGAGACGACCTCTGCTACCGCTTTGATTTTATAACTGACACCTAAGGTTTTCTTATCCGCTTTTTTCTAGTGAGTAGAAAGCAGGCGTTTTCTGTTTAGCTATTTCTTTGACTTTGACAAAGATGTAATGCTCTTCTTACAGGATTTTAGCTTTTGACATTCACCAAACTAAACTTGTCTCTGCTTTCTCATATTCGCAAAATATGACGTGTCAGGAAATTCTCAACCGCTGTCCCACTAGACTAGAGGTGTTATTATGAAGACTTTTCTTAATCCACGAAAGAAACAAGAATAATTAACATTTGATATGTTTTATATTTGTGGGTTATTTATCTTTATTACAAATGCATTTTTGCTATTCACAATCAAATGCCAACGTGTTAGAGGAAATGCCAGTCTGTACTTTTATATTTCAAAATTGTAACAAGTTAATTTGTCTTATACGGTTGCTTTTTTAATCTTAATTAATTTTTTAGTCTAGACTGGACAAGTCTGCCAGCTGCCTGATTGATTAGCCCAGTTCCTGCTTCAATCAATGCTGCTGTTTACACAGAATTAAGAGATGTGTCTTTGTCTGCGCTGAACAACAGTGAGGATTACTTTAATTACCTGCTCTTCCTTTTAAATGAGTTTACTTGGAACACCTACCAACACATATTAACATGATGGAGCAGGAAATGCATAATATACATTCATATGGTACTGTATATTAGTTTTTTTAATGATTAATCCTTTATTTTATCATTTATATGTATGATAATGCATACTATGATGTAACGTCTTTGCATATACTGAATGTTAAATGAGGAACACATCATAGAGTTGTGATGTTTATTCATGCTAATGTGTGGGCTGTTCGTGTTGTGAATCACGTAGCCCCGCCCTTCCCCACCTCACACCTGTCCTCCCAATAAGTCACACATGGTTATTAATATGGCCTCGCTCTGCATCATAAAACACTTAACTGCCCTGCCTTGACTCAGTGCTGCTCATCTTTCACACTGCTTCAGCACACTGACACTGACACCAATAGTCTGACAAAATGAAGCTGGGAAACTTAAACTTTGATTAATTAATTAATCTCTTTCATAATTACCATATTCATACATTCATAAACACAGTGATCACTCGTGATTATTCGGTCAGTACATGGTCAGCAATAAAGCCATTAATAATTTGTGCACACTCTATTTTCAATTAAAGAAACATGTTTTTAATATTAGTCTCGGTTTGAAGTCCCAGAAAATAAGAAAGAGAAAGTATGAGACAAAACCTTTTAATTAGTTGACAAAAACTCCTAGTACGATTCTGAGATGATATTTGTCTTGATTAATCAATAAGTCCACGGAAACAAAAGGTTTCTGCAAATATCACAAAAGTAAATAATAGCTTAAAATTGTCAAGCCAAAATGACAAACACTCGATTCCAGGTGTTTCAAATGTGAGATATGGTGTTATATTATTATTAAATTGAACATTGTTTGGTTTTCAGACTGTGGAAAACACAACAGTTTGTCATCTACGATAAAATGACAGATATAGCTTAATTGTAAAATAATCTGCAGTTGAATCGATAATGAAAATAGCAGCCTTAGAACAAATACAACATAATGTCTTTTACCTACATAGGAGAGGTACAAAAGTGTGATTTACTTGTACAGTTTGATTATCAATGTATTCTACTTGCTTGTTTGCATTTATGATAATTATTTTATAATAGAGTTAATTAGCAGTTGGACAAATCAACGATTACAAAGCGCGTTCAAAAACATAAAGCAATAATAATCAAAACGGGGAAAAATCTAGGTCAAATAAAATGTATATTTCAAAAATGTAAACAAATGCATATTTTGAATCAGAAACCCTTCACTGTTATTCTATAGTATAAATGTGACTGCCATGTTTTTCACTTAGTCTTGTAAAATGTGTCGGACATTTATAAATTAGATTGTGAGGCTTTATTACAACTACATCAGTATTAAAGAAAGACTGGCTCTTTTGTGCGTTGCAGCTGGAGTATGTGGGCTGGCAGTTGAACCTGCAGATGGCCCAGTCCAGCCAAGCCAGACTGAAGTCTCCCAGCGCCGTCCTCCAACTGGGACTCCGCAATGAGGACTCTGAGGTACAACAACACACAACGTCATTATTTTTCTTCCTCTTCTCTCTTCACTTCTTTTCCTCTGCAATCAGAGATCTGTTCTGTGTTTGTGCCAAATGGGAGGCATCTTCAAGCTGTTCCTCTTTCTCTGCTAATAGATGGTAATCCCACTGGTGTCTGTCTTGACCCAGAGGTAGACGTACATCTGGCTCCAGAGTAACTGTAGTGTAAAGACCAGAGATCAAGGAGCTTGTTATCGGAAACCTCCAGGGGGTCTTTGTGCTCTGAAAGACTTCCTCTGCAGCTACAATTGGACAGTTTGTGCCTTTTTATTGGAGGGTTGTATTGCAACTAGCATTGAACTGTATCCATTTATACTCACAGTATTGAAGCTTGTTTACTATATGTTTGAGATTTATACTTTGATGTTTGCCTTATTAAAGTCACTAGTGATGTTTTCATTTCCTCAGTTTGAATACTCAATGTTTGAATTTACATTAGAGAACATTTAATAAATATATTAAGGATTTTGGTGCAGCATCCCAATTAAGCCTTGCCCTAAATATGTATAAAGGAACATAACAACACACATATGGTTTAGACTTTCCACGTTAGCATTTCCATGTTGCCATTCATTTGTATGCAGTAGAGTGTATTTGGATCCCAATTAGCTCATGCTATGTAGTGATTCTAATAGCCAAGACCTCATGAGCCTGCCTCACTCATTTCTTTGTTTTCCTCTGGGAGCAGGATTGCTCTGTTTCTGTAGAGAAAGGAGTGAGAACTCTGTTTCATTTTCACTGTGAATAATCTTCAGCCTTTAAACCACCTGATTTGATAAAAAAGACGTTATCTAGACTTAACAATGAGATTCTTCGACCAACATCACAAATGCCCACATACTTAGTGAGATAGGATTAATCAAGTGCTTTGACAAATATTTTGAATATATTCTGCATATTTGAAATGCTAAATAGGACTGCTGTTTGTTGGCATGGATACTGGATATTTTAGTTATGACTGGTTTCTTTTAAAGCAGATTTGGTCTCAAAATGGAGGGGCTGATTATCCTCCGAGCCTGGATAGTATTGTTCCAGCTGACTAGTCAAGTGTCTTTCTTTCACACTGCTTTGTATTCAGTCCCTAGAGAACGCCAGCTCAGCCTAAACGGGGAATTAGGCATGACATATTCAAATTGCTGCTGTCTTAAATGTGGGCCTATAGGCGGAAGCTAGAAAAAAGACATGTTCTTTTTTATCTTTGTGAATGCGACAGCAGTTGGATTTTGTTTTGTGTTGGACTATTTTCTGCTGTGCTTTCCCAAGGCTAGCATAAAAGGCATTCATTTATTTAAATCCATTTACACAATTCCCCTTGTGGGAGGAGATAGCTGGGGGGCTAAAACAAGGCTGGTTAAAAGTGTAGAGAGGGATCAACTTCAGTGAAAATGACTGTGGTGCACGTCCTCTGGTGAACTGCAGGGGGCACTGTTGTCTCACAGGTGGGAAAGAGTCCCTCAGCGGCATTGATGGAGCTTAGAGATGGATAGGATACCTCATTTAACTTTGTATCAAAGCAATGTGAGTCTGCACCGTTTCTTCATTTTCAGGTTAGTGTTTCCTGAGAGTGAGTTTGTTTTCTTTCAAAGTCTGAGGCTCGGTAACAACTTCTTGAATGTCAAAACACTGCGATGACTGAGAAGTAAATTAGATGCGAATCAAAGTGAAATTCAATTGCAAGTGTCATACTAATTACAAGGCCGATGTATAACTTCCTCACTGCTAACAGTATAAAGGAAGGGGTGGGCAAAACTGCAAGCAGGAGAAATGAGAGGAGTTGAGGTGCGGGGGTCAGGGGAGGGTAGGTAGCAAGGAAGATGTAAGAGGGAGATGAGGTGAAAACAAATATGAAGGGTACAGGGAGTAAAATAATGAAGACGAAGAGGATGAAGGAAAAAAAAGGAGAGAAGAAGAGGACGGCGAGGGTGGCCGTCTCTATGTTATTGATTGCTTGGAACCCAAGTGGAGAGTCAGAGTCTCTCCCATCTGACCAGCCTCCTGCTTCATTAACACTCTCCCTGAGGAGGAGGGGGGGGGGGGGGGGAGAGCTGCCAGGGAGCTTCACATCTTCTTCCCCAAACAAAACGTGACATACAGTATAACAGTGGAGGATATGTTAGAAGACATATTTGGATAAATAAGACTGCTTTTTAGGATGTCTGGATTCTTTTCAGTTTTCACTGAAATATTTCATCTCAAGGGGAATTTCTTTCATAACATTTCCCCCCTCTGCCTCCAAAACAGCATTTATTGAAATGATAGATCACTGTGTCTGCTCCCAGGCAGAAGTCAGTGTCGCACCTCACCCAGGGGAGCTGCCATTTCCCTAAACTGAATTTGTATCGGCTTCAGTGGAAAGTTGCTGTTCTGAGGAAGCATTGGCAGTACATCTGCACACAGGAACATGACCTCACACAAATTTGAAATTTGACGTGGTGTTTTCAAGGTTGGGAAAGTGCTTGAATTTGGGGAATGGTGCTTGAAATTGAGATAAAGTGCTTGAAAATGTAAATGCTTTACTTTTACAATAAATTACTGTCTGACTGAATAGTTCGCTTTTTAGATTAAAAGAAAAGAATTGCTTCGCTTCTACATAAAACAGCCCCGCTCCGGCCTTCCCGCGCTATGCGCGCGACCTGCAGGTGTTTTTGTTTGTGTGACCTGGGCATTCTAATGAGAGTGATATAGAGATGACAGTATGCCAGGAGTTTGCTGTTTTAACGAGCGTTGACTATCCGAAGAAAAATACAAGCCATGGCTAAAACCATGCAAAGGTTGCAAAAAAGAAATCAGTTGTTCTCGATGGGAGAGTTTGCGCTGACGAGCCACATGAAAGGCAAGCCGCATTTTGGCTTAGGCTAACGTTGCATGTTACGTTTGTTTAAGCTAGTAACGTTAGCGAACTCAATGTGGGATGATTGCTTATGCAGGTGACAATAATTTCAGAGGAGCGTGTACCTATGTCAGTCGCCATCCTGTGGTGTTTCATGTCACACAGAATGATTTTAAAAGCAATGTATTTCTACTGGTAGTTCGTGCCTAAACTTGCTCCATCGAAATCAGTCGCATTGACCCGAAGACACATTTTGAGTTATATACACTGTTGGAAAGAGGATATTCCTAGCTTTCTAACGGAGGAAACATATTTTCGTTTGTACTGGTCTGGGGGAAGCTCGCGAGTGTGTGTTTGTGTATTTTTGCGTTTGTGTGTATTGTGTTTATTTCCCGGGGAAAACACTCACGACAAACACCAGCTGTTGTTATGCCTGCTGTGACGTTAAGTTACTCCGTTCTCCGCTTGTAATTATGCCTTTACAAGCTTCAAAGCTGTATTTATCATCTGAATTTGCCGAAACAAGTTTAATATTCTGAAAGCTAAGACTTTGTTTATTTGAAATCAGATGAAAACAAACTGTAACGGACCCTGCCGTGTTATCTGATTACTATACGCCATATATTCATAATTTCAGCCGGAGGGAGGGGGAGCAGCGCTACGGAACAGCAGAGTGGCGAACTTTAGTGGAGTAGAAGTGTAGTACACAGTTGCATAAAATGAAAGTACAAGTATTTTAAAATTGTATTTAACTCTCTATCTATGGCATAGTGTTGCCCTCAGGCAACAAACCACTTTTTTCGATCTCACACTGGCCCTCTACATATATATATATATATATATATATATATATATATATATATATTTAAATATACACATACACAATGTCACCTGAAATGCTGGTGTCCAATACAATTAGGGAATTATATGGGTGTGGCATTTTGTCTGGGGGTGGAGCAGTCCTTTCTGCAAGCAAAACTGCAGGGGACTCAGGGCCACCACTTGGTAAGATACATTTCACTTTTTAACATATTAGAAATGTACACAACTTAAAATAAATGCATACATACTGTACACACACACACACACACACACACACACACACACACACACACACACACACACACACACACACACACACACACACACACACACACACACACACACACACACACACACACACACACACACACAAAGACATACATACACATACACAAAGACATACATACACAGACACACATACACAAAGACATACACACACACACACACACACACACACACATAGACAGACAGACATAGACAAGTGCCGCTGTAAGCTGCTTGAAAAGCTTGAAAATGCACCTTGAAAATGCTTGAAAAGTGCTTGAATTTGACTTTGGAAAAGGTGTAAGAACCCTGGGCACGTCTCCTCAAATTATGCGGTTAGATTTGTAGTAATTATTGGTTTGCAGAGCTTTCGATCATCAACACACTTAAAAGCATCAGGAATCTGTACTTGTACCTTTTTTCTTCTTCTAAGCATTTCATCCAGGCTCTAGATGTAGTTATTTTCCAACTGCACAGGCCTTGAGATAGAAATGAACAGTTTACCCATTTTAATTCTGAGTTGTGCCTGCAGTGAGTTGTGCCTGGGATAAAGCTGGGCGAAAAGAGAATAGAGTACAAACGCCTTTCTGGCTGCTACCTCGTGTTCAGACATGTCTAAAACAAAACTTGAAGTTGTTCCGTAGTCAATCCCTCACTTAATATCTGTTCAGAGTATACTCTCTAGCTAAGAGAGACGTCAGGAAACTGCTCAATGACTACCCAGAAGATAAACGCTGACATACAATCATTTATTTCAAAAGAGTAAAATCACAAAGAAAAACAAACCTGAATGGTGAAAGCCTACATGAGTATACAGCTATTCTTTTTTTGTTTTTGTTTTGTTGTATTTCTGATTAAGCACTACCACATGAATTCTGACAACCCTTCATCAGAGGTTACATAGTTCCCTTTAACCCTTGAGCACTTTAAGCAACTAGAGTGATTAGTTGCTATAAAGTATTTAAAGAAAAACACAAAGGTCTCCAAGAAAGGGGGACATTTATCTTTTAACCTGTTGATCTCCCTTTACATGCCCTATTTAAGTC